GATCAGTCCTATGCTGGTTTTCCAGCTATCAGTTTGGGGTCCATGAGTAACCCCTTGTTCAGGTCAGCTATTTCTGTGGGTTTCTCCAGCCTGGTCTTGACCCCTTTGCTCATCACTCCTCCCTCTCTACAATTGAATTCCAGGAGTTCAGCGTAGTATTTAGCTGTGGGTGTCTGCTTCTGCTTCCATCAGCTACTGGATGAAGGCTCTAGGATAGCATATAAAGTAGTCATCAATTTCATTATCCAGGAAGGACCAGAAGGGAATTTTATGGCCTCAGTTCTCTTTACCTGGATTCTGGGGCTCAAACCCAGGACATCAGACTTGCATAGCAAGAACTTTACCTGCTGCCCAACTCACTGGCTCTAAATATACATATACAACAAAAGGCTGAATTCAGTATTCTCAAAGTTAGATGGCAAAATATCTTAGAAAGATGCTCTGTCCATCTTAAGAGCCTGTCTCTTCCCAGGAAATGAATGTGGTCCATTAAGATTCAGTAGAAGCAAAGGGAGAGTCAAGTTTACAACATTGGGTGATAGGTGATTGTTAAGGACATCAAGCCCAGTGATTTCAAATTTGAAATCCCTTAGTCATTGACTGAAGGTCATGTTACAATAGGATAGGAACTCTTATTTGTACTTGTTCTTTATCATAATTGTTTTTCTAATAAGTAGCTTTTCCCAATTGCAAATCAGGAGCTTCAAGAGGGACAAAGGTTGCCATAGGATTTGCTCAGACAACATAGATGAGACCAAGAGATTAGAATATTTGCTGTGACTCACACCCATTTTCATTACTCTCTGTGCTATCTAAGAGTGACTCTCCCTTCTGCAAACAACCTAGCAAATAGCTAATAATCTCGCTAGCAGATGAGGGCACTGAAGTCCAGAGAATAAAGGAAACTTGACTAGGTTCCAACTCTTGAGTATTGGGGTCCTCCACCCGACTTAAAGTCGGGGCTCCTCTCCCCCACTCCAGAGCCCTACCCATTCTGTGTGCTGCTTTCTAAATATGGTTCCCTCTTTATCCCGTGGAACTAATCAGAGCATAATTCCATATGGCACGACCAGAGGTTTGTCACCTGATCCTGTCAAATTGACAATCTGAACTACTACACAAAAGAATGTACCTATGATTCTGGGTTAGTAAACCAAGTGACATTTTCACCTTGGAAGTTTTATGTTTAGTCATCAGTTTTCTATTGTTTTTATTAGCTATTTGCCTGAAACTCCCTTTTAACAGGTGGCCTTCAAATTAATTTGGCAGTCTGATGTGGAATTGTTTTTAGAAGCCCATGGGCTTGCTGCATGCGACTATGCTCTTCTTGTAGCAATTGCAGTAAAGGTGTTCAACGTGTGCTTTAGACCTCCATCCATGCCCCCAAACCACAACAGCGACTAGTCTGGCAAGACAAGCCACTGATGCAACAGTGTCAAGAGCATCATGGTAGTAATCAACCACTTTCTGATTAGATTTCAGTCCCATTCCACATATGAAATCCATGCCTGACACCATGGCAGGTTCAAGAACTGATGGTTAGACAGGTCCTAAGGGGGAGCCTACTATTCTGATGCTGCCAAAGGGACACAGCATTAAACTGATTACTAATGACTTTTATTTATATATGAATGCATCTCTCAACCATCATCAGAGGAGATTCTATTTGCCATAGGTAGTGACTAACACAGAGACCTACAACTAGTCTAGGTGCAAAGAGAAAGAGACTACAGAATGCTCAGGTCTAACTGGAACATCTGTCTTATAGCTGTCCCCCCAACACACACACACACACACACACACACACACACACACACACACACACACACACACACGGCTCAGGGATCATTGCAGAAGTGAGGCAGAAGGACTGGAACAGAGAGAGGCAGTGATTGATTCTAAGGAAATAGTGTTTCCTGGACACAGCAGGGTGGTTGGACATACGAACTCACAATGGTTGTAGCAGCATGCACAAGCCTGTGCAGATTCAAGTCAGCCAAAATCCCAGCATAGAGAGGTGAGGTGGGCACAAAGCTAACAGCTGGCTGAGTAGCTACTGGGTACTGGTGACTTCTGGGAAAGGAAGAATCAGTTTTCTCCAGGAGTGTGACCGCTGGCAAATCTGACCACTGTGGTGGTTTGCAGGCTCATATGTCTGAATACTTAAGTTTCTAGTTAGCGGAACTGTTAGGGAAGGGCTAGGAAGTGTCGCCTTGTTATAGGAGATGTGTCACTGGGAGTGGGGTTTGAGGTTTCTAATGATCTCTTTCTCTGTCTTGTAGATGAGTCTCAAGATGCAAGCTCTCAGCTTCTGCTCCAGTACCTGCCTGCCTGCTACCACACTCCCTGCCATGGACTCTCACCCTCTGAAACTGTGAGCCTCAAACTAAACACCTCCTTTCAGAAGTTGCCTTGGCCAAGGTGTTTATTACAGCAGTAGAAAATTAACTCAGATAACCCCTCTCTAGGGGAAGGCCATGCATCCAACACATGGACCAGGGTCTAGACAGATGGCAGAAGTGAAGACTCAGCCTGCTAAGGGCCGTGGTCTCCCTGCCACAACCCTATTCATTCAAGGAAGGAAGCACACCTTCCTCCATTGCTTGTTGGAGTGAGAACAGGAAATACATCGTGTGTGACTCTCCTTCATATTGTTCCCATGGAGTTTTTACTGTGTATGAACGTGGTTTGGAAGGATTCTGTCCTGTACCAATCTCGTGCTACCAGCCTCTACTTTAGACTCTTGACTGAAACAACAATGCCCCATCTTTTGGGGGTGGGGAGAATGGAGTGTCTGTGGGACTCAGTCTTACAAAATGAACAAAATGTTTGTTGAAATGACTAGATGAAAAATGATGCTTATGGTGCCATGGTGGAGCGCTGGCCAAGTACACACAAGATCCTTCTTGTTCAGTCACCAGCACCGGAAAAAGAGACATACGTAACTACCTGGTAAGCTTTGAATTGGAATCCTTTTGTTTTAGCTTCGTGTAACTCTTCCTTTGACTGTGAACTTTTTTCTTTTGATCCTACTATTCCACTGATACTTTTATTTATTCATGGTGGCCTCGTGTATGTTTACACTGATTACTCCCATGGGTTTTCGGGGAAAGAAATTGCGAGGTGTTTCAATGAGGCTTCCAGCTGGGTATCATTTCAAATGGCAGGTTCCAGCTGGATGTCATTTTAAACGGGTGGGTCCCCAAAGTAACTCACGATGTCTGAGAGTGGTTGCCGTGTATGTAGGAGTACCATTGCGTGCCCTTCCAAACCTCCCACATCACCAGGATAGTCACGTGTCCTAAGTCCTGATGAAAAAGCCCGTGACAATTACCTTCCACTACTCTCACCTGCTGCATGCCCGGCCTGGCCTTGGCTTGGAGAGCAGTGTGGCACCCTGAGCGAATGCAGCATATCATCAAGAGATAAGGAGCACAGGAGAAAGTCCTGAGATGGCACGTACAGGGTGTGGTCCCCTAGTAAAGTGGAAGTTGCCAGACCTGACTGAGGAGCCACTCCATAGGAGTCCAGGAAATAGCATGCCCAGATATCTCAGATAGTATGTGAATTGCTGAAAGCAGAGGGAAAAGAGGGTGCTAGACATTCTCTGAATTTCTTTGCCTGATTCTAGGCAGGTCCTTGGGATACAGCCTAGTTAGGATGACAGCTCTGTGTGTAATTCTTGCCCACCAGACACAACCAACATATCATTGGAGGAATTTGACATCTGACCCAGATTACCTATTCATTTGAGGGCCTGTGCTGCCTGGTTTATGTAAACTTGACACAAACCTTTGGAGAGGAGGGAACCTCAATTAAGAAAATGTCTCCAGGACTGGAGAGATGGTTCAGAGGTTAAGAGCACTGGCTGCTTTTCTAGAGGTCTTGAGTTCAAGTCCCAGCATCTATAATGAGATCTGGTGCCCTCTTCTGGTGTGCAGGCATGCATGCAGACAGAACACTTTAAATGCGATACACAAATCTTTAAAAAAAGAAAGACAGATCCATTAAGATCCAGCTGTAGGGTGTTTTCTTAGTTAGCGACTGACTGGGGAGGGCCCAGCCCATTGCTGGTGCCCCATCTCTGGGCTGGTGGTCCTGGGTTCTGGCTGAGCAAGCCATGAAGAGCAAATCAGTAAACAGCACCCGGAGGGACTGAGCTCTGATCGTCAGAGGACAACTTTCGGGAGCCACCCAGAGGGACTGAGCTCTGATCGTCAAGCTTGTCGTCGGCCTCCACATGCACTCTGTGTCATATGCACGCACACACACACACAAATAAATAAATAAATGTGATTTTAAAGAACAGACACGCTTTAGAAGTTTGGAGCTGGCAGTCACATCCACTAAGTCACTGACAGGAAATTTCTCTAGAACAGAGAGGCCACCAAAAGTCACAGTTGCTAAGGTAACATCACCAGCTCCTCTATTCCCACTGAAAGAACCTGCATGGGGTCCAGCTTAGCATATGACTTGGGAACATAATAGTTACACTTAAAGAAGGCACGTCAAAGCCAAGGAAGCTTTTGTTCAACTTGAATAAGGAAGTATTTCATGGGTTTTGGGTTGATGCCACTGGTCTCTGGGATTGTCTCAGCAAAGCCAAGCCCGAGCTTCAGTGGCTCTGGTAGCTGGAAGAGGGCTGCCTGATGATCCAGGTTCCTTTCTTTAATGTGGTTTCAAAATGGTGTCCCAGATGTCCTTTTTGCTCCCACTTACTAGACAGTGCAGCCATTCCCTGTACTGTTCCTTCTAATTCCAATCCCAAATTCTCAGAAAGCAGTGTAGGTATTGGAGTGACCCTCTGCTCCTGTCTGCAGTCTCCCCTTTCCTTCAGTTACCGCCCTGATCTTTATACAGACGAATGATGCCCCATGTGGCTCAGTGTCCTGAACATGTCTGTCTGCCCACCATCTCTTCATATGGAACTCGGATTTCATGACACGCCTAATTGTCATCCATAGCCGACAAGCTTAAAACAGACACCTTACCAAACAGAATAGTTTTTCATTGTATTTAATTGGCACGTGTCGCTGACAGCAGAGTGGTTTTGTTTCTTGAAGACTCCTGCGATCTATCTATACCTTGCTTCTGGAATGCTCTGTAGCTGACCTACGATGACACTGCGATTGGATACTCGCTGTAGTCATCTTAAGACCTGCTGCCACTACCACTTAAGGACTTTCTTGACCACCTCAACATAGTGGCCATCCGGAGGTGGCTTCCTCTGACTCCCAGGCTGCAGGAACTTCTTAATTGTAGGGATGTTGCTGATTCTTGTCTTAAATGCCTGAAACAAGAAACAGTGAAGTCAGGAGCTCGATAGCTGTCACAACCGTAAAGAAATCATGAGTTCTGGCCTGGAGAGATGGCTCAGTGGTTAAGAACATTAGCTGGTCTTCCAGAGGTCCTGAGCTCAATTCTCAACTCACAACCATCTGTAATGAGATCTAGTGCCTTCTTCTGGCCTGCAGGCTTACATGCATACAGAACACTGTATACATAATAAACCTTTTAAAAAGAGAGAAAGAGAGGAAGAAAGAAATCAGAGTTTTGCCATAGAGGAGGTACTCAGGCCTTTAGCTTTAAAGCCCAGGGTGTTAGTGCTGAACTAATTTCTTGGTGTGTTTGCTGACTTTTCCTGGCGTGGGTTGAAATGTCTTATTTAAAAGGCAAAAGCATGGTCGGAGCATATTAAAAGCCCTTAACAATCTGTATTCTGTGGCCTATTAAGTCTTGTTTTAGGGATTTATTGAAAGGGAATACTTAAGGGTATGAGCAAGGAAATTGCAACAAGTGGTGGAACTCGTTAGCTAGGACCAGCTGGTGACCTCAGCTGACTGTGCTATCTGGAGTCTTCAGGAGCTGGTTTCCCAGCAGCACCCTCTCCTCAAAAGAAGCATCATGCTCTCTGACAAACACCTTGGCTTCAAAGGAACACCACACCCTCTGGGCAGTACCCTCCTCTTCAAGGAGCACCTTACCCTTCAAGAATCATCAAACCCTCCTAGGAGCACCAGCCCTTCCCAGGAGCACCAGCCCCTCCTAGAAGCATCAGACCTTCTAGTAGCATGGTGCTCTCTGTGCAGATGTCTAAATTTAGGGATTTAGGGATCTTCATTTATAATAAAAGAATGCTTTCATTATTGTGCATATATGAGTGTTTTACTGGCATGCATGTCCAAGTACCATATGAATGTAATTCCCCAGAGACCAGAAGAGGGGACTGAATTCCCTTGGGACTGGAGTTACAGATGGTTGTGAGCCACCATGAGTGCTGGGAATTGAACCTACATCCTCTGGAAGAGCAACTCATGAGAATGTTCTTTATATAAGGCTAACTCGGAGAACTGGCATGAAGTAATACAGTAAGAGGAGTGATGAAAGGTTAGGCTTGCTCTGTTCCTACAGGGTATTTATGAGGTGCTCCAACAGCTGCGGGATTTGGGAGAGAAGCACAGGCTGGGTGCACTCTGACTCGCATTTTCCAGTGTCCTGTCCTGGTCTCCACTCAGGCAGCCTGCTCAGGCGGTCACTCAGAAACCAGCCTGGCCCCCTAGCTACACAAAATGACCATCATCCTTAAAGTGCATGCTGAGCTGTAGTTTTGAAAAGATTGTTCGTGCATTCCCATGCTAGTTCTTAGCTAAGCCTGTCTTCCTGCCCTTTCCCTAGAATCTCTCCTTCCCTCTCCTCAGCTCATGTTCTGCCTTCTCTCTCTCTCTCTCTCTCTCTCTCTCTCTCTCTCTCTCTCTCTCTCTCTCTCTCTCTCTCACACACACACACACACAAACACACTTTAAAACAGAAATAGCTGTCCAGCAGTGGTGGCGCACACCTTTAATCCCAGCATTTGGAAGGCAGAGGCAGGAGATCTCTGAGTTTGAGGTCAGCTTGGTCTACAGAGAGTTCCAGGACAGCCAGGGCTGTTACACAGGGAAACCCCATCTCAAAAAACAACAATAATAAACAAACAAAAATAGCTAGAAGAATTCTAACACAGTGGTAATTTGTAAATAACGTGTGTTTTCCAAACAGGAAAATGATTGAAGCTTGTGGACACCTCAGAAGTGAAGAGCACTGGCTCATCTTGCAGAGGACCGGGATACAATTACCAGCTCCCACATGGCAGCTAACCACCATCCGCAACTCCAGGCCTAGGCATACAATATACGCTTCTGGTTTCTTTCGGGCACTTCGTGCACATGGTAGACAGATTTACATACATACAGGCAAAAACACCCATACACATTTAAAAAAATGGTATTTTAAAAAATGAAAGGGAAAGTGGTCCAGGTGTGATAGTTCATGCCCTTAATCCTAGCACTCAGTAGGCACAGTCAGGTGGAAGTCCATGAGTTCAAAGGCAGCATGGCCTTTATAATGAATTTCAGGCCAACCAGGGCTACACAGTGAGACCCAATCTGAAAAAAGAAAAAGGGTGAGGCACTGACTGTCCCTGTCAACAGTCAGTCATGAATGAGAGGACTGATAGATGCTTGGGGAGCAGGATGCCACCTTCAGTTATGCAGTCAGTGGAGCATGGACAGTTCCACACCCATGGTCATGGGGATGACCCTGGTTAAACTCAGTGTTCACAAAGCAAAACAAAGGGACTTGTGGAGAGGGTTGATGAGGGCAGAGAAGGGATAGGAGAGGGCAAGGTATAAGAACAGTATATACATGAAAAGAATATCAAAAATAAATTTCATAAAAGAGCACTTAAAGTAACAAAATAAATAAGAAAGGGAAATGTCTACATACATAAAATGCATATATGAAATGCATATAGGAACTCACGTGTCTGCATGTGTGTGCACACATTCGTGTAGCCAATTCTTATAGAAAATTTAAGCCAGGAACTCTAAATATAACATATGAAAGGACAGAGGAGTTCTCTATATTGTAGACAGAGAAAAATATCTAGAAATAATTTTTTTTGTTTTTGTAAGAACAAAAACTAAGGGGCTGGAGAGTTGGTTCATGGTTAAGAGCACTGACTGCTCTTCTAGAGGACCTGGGTTTGATTCCCAGCACCCATGTGGGGGCTCACAACCATTTGTAATTCCAGTTCTAGGTGACCCAACATCCTCTCTGGCCTCTGAGGGCATCTGCACACATGTAGTACACAGACATACATGCACATGAAATTAAATTTAAAATAAAACAGCACAAAAGACTATCTTTCACTTTATGTTCTGTGTAAGAAAACTAGCTAGAACAAGAATACATTTGCATGTTTGCTGATATCTTCATAAACAGGAACGCTGGGAGAACACACAGGAAACTAGTCAAAGGACAATGGGGCCAGGGAGATGGGACCAGTACAGAGATGGGATTTCTCAGCTTGTGTCTTTTTATATGGCCCTGCTGTGTTTCTTTTTTAATGATATGGTTCTATTGCTCAATGAAAAGAAATAATATTATACCACAGAAGAATACTTGTTAACACACAGGTATATTCGTGACTATTGAAAAGAACATTAAAAACAGATGACAAAGTCAATATTTACTATAATCCTATTTTTAGGAAAATACAAAGTGATAGGTAAATTAGTTTCCTGCCAGTAACTTTGGCATAAGTCAAAAGGATTATAGGTCTTTTTCATTTTCATCTTTTGGTTTAGATAGTGTAAGTGTATGAACACACCCTTTCTTTTGTAATAAGAAGGAAGAAATGCTGTTCTTTTTTTTTACAATATAATTGAGAGTATCTGAAATTCTTTACATTAAAATGATAACTAATCCTTTTGAAACCCATCCAACTCCACACCTTTTTTCTGTCTCACTCTTAAGAAAACAAAAGGCAAATAAAGGACAAAAAGTAATAAAACAAAAAGAACAAACCAATGAACAAAGGAAAACACTAAGAAAGAGCAGGAGAAAAGCACACACACACACACACACATACACAACCCATAAAAACTCAAAATTGAAAACCATAATATATAGGCAAAAGACTGGCAAGGTTAAAAAAAAATCTTGCAGAATACCATTGAGTTTGTTTTGTGTTGGGCATCTACTGCTGGCCATGGAGTCTGCCCTTAAGTGTGGTTTGTATACCCAGTAAGACACCCTTGGAGAAACTAATTAAAAACATTGTTCTTAACAGACAAAACCTGATGCTTGTCTCTGAGAGAAACCTGAGGGGTTAGAGCGGGTCAGTCAGGAGCAATGGCGGGATTCTTTGTGTAAGCTGAGGCAATGTGACTGACCCAGCAGAGAGACCCTGAAAGTGGACACCGTCATCCGAGAGGGGCCAGGATGGAGGAACAAAGGCTGTTGTTGCAAGCAAAAAGTGTTTAGAGAACTGAGGAAAAAAAAAAAAAGAATAAAAGCCATGAATGCCCTAGGACCTCATACATGTCGGTCATGTGCTCTACCTCTGAGCCACGTGCTCCGGCAGTTTACATGTTCATATTAGAACCTCAAATACCCATTTTCCCATCATATAAAGTTTCATTCCCTAACAGATCCTATAGTGTAAGTGTGACTAAATAACTAGCGTGAACAAAACAACGCTTTTTGAGACAGTTTCTCGTAAGCTTTAAGCCTGGCTTGGGGGCATTGCTCCAGCTGCCTCTCGGGGCTTTGCATCTGTGCTGACGAGAGTCCTACCTGCAGCAGAGGGAAGTCAGACAGCACAGGGGCGCTGAGTTCTTCCACCATCAAAATGGCTTCCAGCAGCTGTATGTCTGCCCAACTGAGCTGGTTGCCGACGAGAAAATCCTCCCCGTGGCCTTTTAAAATCTACAGAAAAGAAAAACACACTTTAGCAGAAGTCATGATGGCTTGCCTGTCTGAATGCTTGCAATGGGAGGCTTACTGAGGCGTCTTTGGTGGTCTCCAGAGCTAGCGAGAACACCTGCAGCCGACACTCTTGCATGTTCCGTGGACGGATGGGATCTCTTTGGGAATGAGTCTGTGGCCATCAAGGCCCTTATGTGGTGAAGTACTGACCTGAAAAGCGTGCAGGAAGCCAAGGAACACTGTGCCCACCGGTACAGGGACACACGGGAGCTAGAATTATTGAGAACCCCGCTGTTGTGACACAAATCAAAATAAATCAACAGTAGAATTAGAAGCCCAAACCTGAAAAAAGTTAATTTTTCAGTACCCAGTGGGAAGCAAATATAAACAAAAAGATACCAGAGTTAGCCTTGAGTAGCAAATATATAAAATATGGTTAACTCCACAAAGAGGGAATAATATATATAAGAACCTGGGAAGGGGGGGTCTCGATGAGTAACTCAGTGATTAATAGCAAATGCACCTTTGGTAACTCTGGTTCCAGGGGATCTGACACGCTCATCTGGCCTCCCTGAGCACCATATACGACATACATGATATACAATACAGACTTGCAGGCAGTCAGAATATGTATGACATTTTTCTAACTCTAAAATAATTCTTAATGAAAAGAAAAAGATCTCAAGCAAGAAAGTAGCAGTGGGCTGGAAAGAGGCTGCTCTTTCAGAGGTCCTGAGTTCAACTCCCAACGTGGTGGTTCACAACCATCTATAATGAGATCTGGTGCCCTCTTCTGGCGTGTAGGTATACATGCAGGGAGAACATAATAAATAAACAATTGAGCATTAAAGAAAAAGAAAATAGCAATATTGACATTTGTTAAAGCTAAGTAGTAGTTACATAGAAATTCTGCTTTGGAAAATCTTCTAAATGATAAAATAGTAGTGTAAGTAACTTCAATATAACCACAGTTACCTGTAAATGAGAAGAAATACCACTATTTATATTTTAAAAATCTGGATGAAAATACATGAAACCAGTTCTTACACTTATCTTTTAATCATGAGGAATAGCCATAGTTTCTGTTTATAGCCTATATTTCTGAATGAGATCTTCAAACAAATTAAGCACAATAAGCATTGTGGTGGGTTTGAATGGGAATAACCCCCATAGGCCCACATTTGAATACGTGGTCACCAGAGAGTGGCACTATTTGAAAGGATTAGGAGGATAGCTTTGTTGGAGGAAATGTGTCACTGGGTGGTGGGCTTTGAGGTCTCAAAAGCTCATTCCAAGCCCAGAGTCCCTCTCTTCATGCTGCCTGTGGATTCAGATCTAGGCCTCTCAGCTACTTCTCCAGCACCGTGTCTGCTTGCATTCCACCATGATGGGGACTAAGACTCTGAAACTGTAAGCCAGCCCCAGTTAAATGTTCTCCTTTATAACAGTTGCCATGGTCATGGTGTCTCTTTACAGCAATAGAACATGTTGACATCAAGACAAACAGGTTGAAATCATAGATAGAAAATAGTATCATGATGTTACTTATAGGGTAAAACCAAAATAATAATAACAACACACTAATTGTTCCTCTTGGAATACACTAAGTAATTATTTTTAAATAAAAAAGAAAGCATTTATCTTTATTGCTTGTATAATCCACACTCCAGAGTAACTAAGTATGCCATGAAGGAGAGAGATTCATGTTCTCTCTGTCTATATGTAGCCTAGGATGATCTGTAATTCTAGACTCTCCTCTGCCTTATTTACCGAAGTTCTGAGAATACAGGAGTGCCCATTGCACTTGGCTTGGGAGACTCTTTGTGTAGAGAATATTCTATATAATGCATGAAGAGAGCTGGCATGGTGACTTACACCTGCATTCACACACTTAGGAGGGGACAGGAGGACTGAGGTCATGGCCAGGGCTAGGGCTCAGTATGAGACCATGTCTCGATAGATAGATAGATAGATAGATAGATAGATAGATAGATCAATATTTCACATCTACTGATAAATCAGCATGTGTCGGCATTGTCTATTGCATTAACATTGTACAAAGGACAGCAATCAGACAACTTGTGCTCCATGATGATTTACACAATGCCATCTATGTAGTAGGCTGGGGGCCAAATAATTGGACCTGAGTCCAATCAAGACTAGATTTCCAGCTTCTAGGTTACAAGACATTCAGGAACATAAGAGTTGTTGTGTTAACTAAAACTCAGCACAGGAAACCACGTAACAATGCAATAGAAAAGAAGAGGAGGGGAGACAAGAAAAGGGGACCTAGCAGATAAAAAGGAAGCTTAAGTTTTCTAATTAGAATGGTAAAGTTGAGTTCGATCCAAATTTGAATAAAAGAATTATTTTTAAATGCTTTGGGAAGTATGGGGTAGAGACTCCTTGGCTTAAAATCTACAGTGTAAGGAAGACTAAATTGTGTGACATTTTAAATGGAAGGTGCTTCAATAACACTGTCATTGTCCCTGGATCAATGGAACTCATCTAGAACAGAGAAGGACTGGTAGAACTCTGCCCTGTAGTTTACACAATATCCTACAAAACCTTTAGTTGTGGGGCCTGCACTAATAGGTCATCCTTACCATTCTACACACTGCTCTAGAGGCCTAGACCCTTCCAAGATGTATTGTGAAGACACTTTTCATTAGTGTTTTCCACTGAGTGCTGAAAAAGTTTCCCATTCAAAAGCTTTTGTCTTTTTTATTAAGGTGCAGTTAGCCTCCAGGACCAGGCAGCAAATTCAAGACAGTGACACCTTGGGCTTATTGATTCTTTTAAAAAACAGAACAGAAATTGTTTGATTAGAGATTCTATAATTTTCTTTGTAACTTGTTCTGGAATCTATATTATTACAGTTTGACCTTAAGGCCTAGAAAGATAGCTTGGTGGTTAAGAACATTGTTGGCTCTTCCAAGGATCTAGGTTCTATTCCTAAACCCATATAGTGGCTCACAACCACCTGTAACCAATTCTAGGGGATCAGATGCCCCCTACTGGCCTCTACCAGCACCAGGCAAAACACCCACTCACATAAAGTAAAAAATACATAATTAAAAAAATTTTTGACCTTGTCTTAATTAGTTACTTACTTTTCTATTGCTATGATAAGACATCATGACTAAGGCAACTTATGATGGATGAATTTATTTGGGTCTCATGGTTTTAGAGGATCAGAGTCTATGACAATCATGGCAGGGAGCATAGCAGCAGGGAGCATAGCCGTGGGCAGGCTGGCACGGGGCTGGAGCAGATAATACATCTTGATACACAGGCACGAGGCAGAAAGAGCTCACTGGAAATGGTGTGCCCGCAGTGACATACTTCCCCCAATAAGACTACACCATCTATTCTTCCCAGACAGTTCCATAAATTGGGGACCAAGTATTTAAACATATGAGCCTATGGTGGCTATTCTCATTCAAACCAACAGACCCTACAGCAGGAAAACTCTGATACAGCCTGTCTTTTTATGTTTTTATTCGTTTTATTTTATGTAACTATGTATGGGGCCGGGAGGGGGAAAGGGGGTGCCTTTGCCACAGCATGCATGAGGAGGCAGAGGACAACTTACAGGAACTGGTTCTCTCCTTCCATTGAACTCAAGTTTTCAGTCCTGGCAGCAGGTGCCTTTACCCACTGGTACCCATCTCGCCCATCTTTTTGAACACTCATTCTTAAACAGTCTGTATATTAGGAATACACAAGCTTACCTTTTCAAAGGCAGGAAAGTAACGGGTCTTAGCTCTCTTCACTGCTAAAGCATAGCTCTCCTCTTTTTCCTTAGGGGATTTAAATACAGCCTGGATGATCATTAGCATCAGGTCCAGGGTGCCATCAGTATACATGTCAATCCTGAAAAGTACACCATAGACTCCCATTGGAATGGAACCCTCAAGTGCAGGCTTCCTAACGCAGCACTGAACAGCAGGCATAGTGTTAGCAAACAGCGTTTGACTCTCCCCCAAATCTTCCACTCCCAGGGATGATTTTCAGAACCAGATCTAGCCAGGTGAAACAGTGGAGACTATGCAAACATTTACTGAATGACAGAATGTATGAAAGGTAATCGAGTGGGATTATGATGGTGTAGAGATTATTTAAAAAGTTAGAGATTTAAAATCAATTAACAAAAAGTATACATGAAAATGGTGAAAATGCACAGTATTTATGGGCTGTGGAATTGCTCCTCCTGTCATGTGTTTCAATGGAGAAGGTGTGGGCATGGAGGGAGGCGCTGCTGCTTCTGAGCGTTGCTCACTCCCGAGTGACACCCCTTCTCTGTTTTCTACATAGTGGCACTTGGGATTTTCTACTACCACATCTTCTATATGTACTGACCGCTCTACCACATCATGTTTGCCATGGTGGCGTTGTCGGGAGCCTGACTTAACCCCAAATCTAGACTAAATTTTATAATTGGAAGTATTTCTCCACCTTGTCTATTTATCTGTCATGAAACGGAACTATTTATAATACAACTATAATAATACAACTATCCTTAACCAACTCCAGCACAGAGCAGATATTTGTGGGATATCGATGCAAACAAAGAAAGAAAGAAAAGAAAACTACAGCTTTTCATCCTCCAGTATTTATGATGAATCCTGTCGGGTCCTTCAATGGGGGCTTCCCCAGGCTGACCTTGTGATTGACTAATGAATAAGGTGGAAATATGAGGGGCAAGCTCTGGACTGAGCTTATGATACTTAGGGTCTTTCACGTTCACTCTTAGAATTCTGTTTTTCATGAGAAAATTAGAATGATAGGGGGCTGGAGAGATGGCTCAGAAGTTAAGAGCACTGGCTGCTCTTCCAGAGGTTAATTCCCAGCAACCACATGGTAGCTCACAACCATCTATAATGAGGTCTGGTGCCCTCTTCTGGCATGCAGTAGAACACTGTATATATAATAAATAAAATCTTTAAAAAAAAAAAAAAGAATGACAACACAGGAGGTAAATGCCCTATTCCTCCCTGAACTGACCATCTGCCAATACCCAAATCTAGAGCTGCCTGGCTAACTGCAGGTTGGGAGACATATGGGTGAGACCAGCTGGGATAAGTTCAGCCCAGGCTAGATAGGTAGAAACCCATAGGCAAATGCTTGCTAATTGAAGTCTGTTTCAAGTTGGTAGCAAAATAGATCATAGATACAATGGTCAAGGCTGGGTCACTGAGTCAGTCAGTAGCACCCTCATGTAAAATGTTTTACTAGGTCATTTTCTGAGAACATAGTTTTCTAGGCATGAATCTGAGAATACCGTAAGCTAACTAGCATTGTATACAAAAAGAGAGTGTAGAATACGTGCTCAGAATCTTGCACAAGCCATGCCGCCTCCAGCAGCAATACCTCCCCTTTGTTCCCTGACTTTCCCCCTTCAGTTCCTGTTGAAAGACACAATCAAATCAGGTTTCGGTTGGTATGAGACCACAGAGACTTGGTTTAAACCTAGTACAGAACGAACACTAAGGTACCTGAGTTTCTCCTTCAGGTCCTTCCCATACAAATTGTACTTGGCCGCAAGGTAGCTGAGGATGGCTCTAGACTGAGTCAGCGACATTCCATCAATTTCAACCAGAGGTACTTGTTCAAAAATCAGGCGCCCATCTGCGATGTGAAAGACAGGGTAAGAAGCTCATCTTCAATGGTTTCAGTGATTGCAGTCCATCTGCAGGATGGCCTAGCTAACTTCACTCAATGGTTTTTAGTTAAAATGATGAATGACAGGTCCCAGTAGGTAAGAAATGCCAGTCATTTGTTTCATGTCAAATCAGAGCTTTGTTTGACTACTTTGTGCTTTTTTGTGTATTGAACAACAACGTTTTCTACATTTACTCTAATATATATATTATATAAATACAAAGCAAATTTTATATACATATGATAAATTTCCGGTTTTCAAAGCTTAAGCAGTGTAAAAGTCCCTGGGCATGAAAGGTTGCTAAGAATGCCTTACCCTCAGATATTCTGAGCTGGGACTGAAGTCTGAGAGCATTCTTTTAAAAGCATATCACTTACTGCTATAGGCACACATGACAGCAGGAAGGATACATCCACAAGAGCACATCTCATGCAGTCATCCATTCTAGCCATGCACGTTTGAATAAGCCATGTACCTGAGCTTCAGCATCCTGTCTCTAACGATAATAGCTATTCAGCAGGACTTTGAAAGGAGGCAAGAGCTATAAAACAACACCAGTAATCCAAGTGAATCAAAACCAAGCTTTCATTTGCCGACAACTTACATAACTGCAGTTGATAATTGCTTAACAGCAGGAAAACCTTTGGAGACTTGTATGCTAGGTAATCTTGTCCTTGGGTGAACACTGTAAGTGTGTACTCACACAGACTAAGATGCCTACCGAGTCACTAGGCAAACAGTCTTATGAGAATACCATTTATGTATGTAGTCCATTGTTGACCAAATGTCTTTGTGAAACTTGAGAGTATAATGTGTGTGAAGATAAACATGGTTCCCTTCTCATGAAGAAGGGAATAGATATCCAATGCCCATTAATACTGAACATGTCATAATTATGAAACTTTGCCCAAACTTGGAACCATACTTCACTAGTGCATAGTAATGGCCATAGGACATCTCTGATTTCTTTCTTTCCTTCTTTCTTTCTTTCTCTTTCTTTCTTTCTTTCTTTCTTTCTTTCTTCTTTCATTCTTTTTCTTTCTTCCTTCCTTCTTCCCTCTATCCCTCCCTTCCTCTCTCCTTTTCTCCCTTCCTTTCTTCCTTTCTCCTGAGACAGGGTTTCTATGTGTAGCCCTGGATCATGTGCTATAGACCAGGCTAGCCTTGAACTCAATGATCCTCTGTCTCTGCCTCCCAAGAGTGCTGAGATTAAAAGTATGCACCATAATGGCCCAGAAAGGCTTCTCTGATTTCTCACTTGATTCAATGGCACTGGAATATGGTGAACATCATTGTAAGAAACAATGACAGCTTTCCAAAGGCCAGTGTTTCTCTCTTACCAGATGTGTTAGGCAAGTCTCTGGCTTCTCTGAGTTTGCTTTCTGATGTGTAACAGTCTCTGTCTGCCCACTTACATAATTTCATTAAGTAGATGATCTTGTAATCATTGTGTACAAGTATCAGAAAGATGAGTGGGGAGACTCACTGGCTGTATTATATCAGCAGATGTCTGCATTCATTCACCACTGAATGTTACTGCTGGGCACTGTGCTCATGAGTGACAAGACCAGTTAGAAACAATGGCTGCTCCAAGAAGCTGACCATCTTTCTCTGAGAGATTTTTTTCAAAACCCAGGTCAAGAACACAGGAAAATATCTTTGACACTAGTTTAATTCTTTTCCATTACCAAAGACATCTCAGAGGCCAAGGGAAGTGAGTGTAATCTACCAAACTCACATAGTCTCAGAACAGCTAAGCTAATGACAGTGAACCATCTGACTTTGTTCAGGCTTCTCTGCTGTCTCATATTGTCTCCTGCTCAAAACAGTGGAGTCCAGGAGGGCATCCCCAGTGCAGCAGCAACATCATAGATTAAGGGAGAGCTGGAACACCGCCAGGGGCTGTTTGGGAACATTGCCTGATGGAATGCTGGTGGAAAGGGCTATGGAACTATAGTCACTTACTCAGTGTGAGCATGTGTGCCCATAACTACCCGTACTGTGAGTCAGAGGCTATTCTTGGAGTAGAGTGAGGTAGAATCAAAGAGGAGGAATTTCAGAAAGACAACAAAGTCCTTGCAAAGGAACTGGGCAAAGGGTGATCAGGGCTCACCCCTTCAGGAAGATCCACTAGCATGTTGTAATCTGTGGACACAGAGGAGGCAGAGGAGTTCAAAATCTTGCCCAAGCTGTACAATTAGTGAGAGTCTGTGGCCTTCTTAAACTAATTTGCAATTTCATGACTGCTGAGCAGCAACTGTGGGGATGATGTTCTCTTTAGATAATGCAGTGGCACTGAGGCTCTGAGGAATCTAAGCAACGCTGTTGGAGTGCCACTTTTTCCTCTCGGAAACTTTTCCGGAAATTTAATATTAGTAATTGGTCCTTTTCTTTGGTCAAAACTCAATTCAGCCAGGCACAATGGTCTGTACCCAAGATGCTCAGGCAAGAGGATAGCAAACCCAGGGAATGCCTAGGCCACTTAGTGATATTCTATCTCCTACTACAGAGACACTTGCACATCTATGTTCATTGTTACACCTTTCACAGCAGCTAGGAAATAGAACCAGCCAAGATGTCCATCAACTAATGAATGGAGGATGAAAAGTGGTACATATGAATTCTACTCAGAACTAGAGAAAGGGAAAATTAGGAGATTTGGAGGAAAATGGATAGAACTGGAAAATACTACATTAAGTGAGGTAACCTACGTCCAGGAAAACAAACATTGCATGTTCTTTCTTACATGTGGCTACAAGCCTCAAATTGTTAGATGTATGTGCTTAATGCTTAACTTGGAGAATCTGTAAAAGCTAGGAAGCTAGGAAAATGGGCCCAGGGGAATAAAGAGGCCTTGGGATGGGAATGGAATGCAAGTGATACGAAAGCAGAAGGAGACAAAGCTGGGGACCATCACAGAAGACAGGGAAGAAAGAACATAAGGGCCAAATGATGGGGAAGCTGGCTGTGATACAACTTTGGGCAGGATACAGCTGTTGCAGTCACTAACACAGCCGCTGAGATTGACTGCATGGAGTCTGCACAAGACTGGGCCTGTCAACATTCAATTGTAGTGAGGAGGAGGAGTTAGGAGAAGGGTTAACTAGAACTTAGCAGATATGAAAAGCCATATGGGAACATAGCAACAATCTAATTAAAATACCTTTTTAAAAGAGAGAATGGGGAACTGAGGTACACTGAATGGATGTGTAAATGTTTTTGCCAGGAGCTGCGGGTTATTATGAAATTATATATAAATATATAAAAATCCCAACACCAGGTATAGAAGTCCCCCTGTGAGCCATTGGTTTGGGAGGTCCCAGAAGCCCCCAAATAAGCCAGCTATTACATTGTTGTTGGTTTCCCATCAGAGCTAGATGATTAGACCCTCCTTCTGAAGATATTACCCTTTGGTTTCAGGACATAGAGAAATCAAGTTTGAATTAAACCAAAAGTCTCATCTCTATGTTCATCATACTGCAACATGTTATGTAGGCTACTGGGGGAGAAGAGTCATCAATGATCTCATCCGGCTGTAGACCCTGCATGCTACAAGACCAATCTGTCCTGCAAAATGTGCTAACTGATGCAATAATGGTATGACTATTATGGGGATAATCAACTACTTTCTGATTGAATTTGAGACCACCCCTCCCACCTCCCAGATAAGAAAGGGTTCATGATGTAACTTAGTCCAAGGCTCAAAGCAGAGGAGGTCATGAAACTCAAGACAGTATCTACTACTTTGTCTTTCTAAGTGAACATATTGCCCAACTACCTTCTAAATATTTGTATTTATGCTCATATATTAGTGCTGTGGTCAACCTTGATCAAAAAAATGTTTCATCTTGATGTGGGTGGCAGTTAATGCAGAGGTTCATTAGTGGTCAAAGAGCTGAGAAAGTAACCGGTGCCTACATAGGACATTTATATCACTCTCTCCAAGGCTTAGGCCGCATCATGAAAGGGGATGGGAGGATGGGGAGGGATACTGTAGAATGGTGTCTCTGGGTCACTGCATCCATGAAATCACAGCAGCTACAGTTACTGTGACTGACTGGGTCCATCAACATTCCATCATGGATACAGGAGGGGCTGTAGGGCCCCACTCTTCCTTGAAGAGCCATTGATAGGTAATGGATGTGGAGGAGCGGGAGTCATATTCTTCAATGGTGTAACCACTTATAAATTGCCCATGCTCCAGTAAATAACCTCTGAAACCATGCTTATGCAAATAATTCTAATTAAATTTAGTGGGTCAAAAAAAAAAAAGACATAAAAGTAGGAAGGGGACTTGTTGGAAAGAAGAAAGCTCTCAGTGGGGGGATGGGAGGGTATATAAGAGAGGGTATTGGGAGTGTTATCTAAGTAATTCAGTTATTCTCTGAATTGAGTTGTCAGAGAATAAATCTTAAAAGTAAAAAACGGGTATGGTTCCGTCTCAAGTCTATCCTGCATGCCATAGTTTCATAAATCTATTAAAAATACCAAGAAAAAAATAGGCATGAACTACAAAACATAAGCACTATCCCTCTTGCCTTGCCCCCAGTCACCGAGATAAGATTAAGACTTGTTAATGGGAGTCCGGTGCTGAGCTAGTCAGAACTAAGGAGCCTATACTACTATATTACTTGAGGTCAGTGCTGTCAGATACTTGGTATGCATGAAAGCCGCAGAGATCAGATAGTTGATACATAAGCTTTGCATCAGGAAAATGGGGATTAATCAATCAATGTTTGTAGGAACGCTGGTACCAGCCCCTTCTAGTAGCTACCATTCCTGAGACCTGTGTTCTATTTGATGAATATGTTTCCAGAAAAAAAGTTCTTATTTTTTCCAATAAAACAGCATCAAATAAATCAAGACTCACCTTTTTGCAACTTCTCATATTGTTCTCTTGTCTCAAGAAATTCTTCCTCAAACTAGATTAAGGAGAGAGAGATATTGCTATAACTTTAAGATAGGAAGTAGGGAGAAAGATTCTGATACCTGTTGGAAATGCCTTATAGTTTTCAGAATAAAATCTAAAAAGGAACCACAAAGCTGTCAACTCTCACCTAAAAACATGACAGGGTGTGTATTTAGAGATTAGCTGAAAGGGTTACCAGCTTTTTGATATTATGACATGACGTTGTCATCTACCAATGTGCTGGCTGCATTCATAGCTATCCTGTGGCTAGGGGCTACTGGTTGGATGAGCCTGAAGAGATAAAATGGGACCAGAATGCCTTTGGAGGGGTTACCTACATCAAGGATCCGCAAGCCCACTGTTTCCCCATTTTTGTTTTGCCTAGACTAGCTCTTCCCTTGCTCTAAACACTTGTCTTTGCCCAAACTTCTCCAATGATTTCCCCCTCTTTTTTGCCCCTCTCTCCTCCCTCTTTGGTTTTTATAATTTTTCCTTCATATCAGTCCAAATTAAGTTTATCTTTGAGACTAATATATCCAAAAAAAAGGGATCCAAAGATCCCCCTCAAGTGAGGGTATAGTCATTTACTGATGGGTTTTCTAAAACTTTGTTAAGGGTGTTTTTGTCCTTCACATCCTGAGATGGTTGGGACACATGACCAGACTAAGGGAGAGTCTCTTAAGGGAAAAGTGGAAAACAAAGACAGTGGTGAGTCCTTGTTCCAGAAGAGAGGACATTCAAACAGAGAGACGATTCCAGGACATAAAAGTCGGGGGAGAGTGTTTGGAGTTAAGAGGAGAGCCAGTCAGCAGATCTCTCATCTGGGCTGAGGCAGGAGTTAAATGGCCTCAGAAAAACCAGCCATTCCCAAACGGAGGGAATGATCTAGATGTACGGTTCTTTTGCTAAGATCTTTTCATCTCTAGGAGCTTCAGACTATCCCAGGCCTTCATCTCCCCACACCTCATGACTGTAATTTCCCCCACTTATCTAAGAAAACAGTTGGAAAGAAGGGGAAGAAGGAGATGGGACCTAAGAACCATCCCCAGCCAGGAACCAACCTCCACTCCTGCTGCAGCCAGCAGCCAGCGAATGGATTCCATTATGCCTCTGCCGTCAAAGTAGTAGAGCTTGGGTTTGGTTTCCATGACTCCTGGTTCAGAGTTTCCTATGGGGCAGCAGTTAAAAAAAATAAGTGTGAAAAACAAACTAGTATACATTGTATGCTTTGCCTTCAATTGGAGCCTTGAGGAAACAGGGTGGAGAGATGTACACACATGAGATAAAGCTATGGAGAAAAAGCAAAAAAGCAGGATAAGGGTGGCTCTTATGAACATGTGGCTATGACCGTGGGGGGGCATTTGAGGTTTCTAGGCTGTCCCACTCTTGAACAGAAATAGCAATCTTTAACTTTAGCCATTTAAATATGCATAAGTGGTTTGCCTTATGCTTTATAAACGCTGTCACTCACAACTTGAGACCTAAGAACAAACTACACCCATCAAGGCCTCATATGATTTGAAACTGTCTTTGACATTTGGAGAAAGGCACCAGGAACTGATATAATGGTTTCATGAATATCTCTGAAAAAAAAAATCTTGTCTAACATCAGCAAAGAGGCAAGCCACCTTGAACTGGAATACTCAGTGGGAATTTGGGAATCTTCAATTGCTGCCACAATTTTCCAGGTAAGAACATGTCTATGAAATAGCATAAAATATGTTACTCATAATGACAAATTAGAAAATACCAAGCTGGGGCAGGAGAGATGGCTTAGTGGTTAAGAGCATCGGCTGCCCTTCCAGAGGACCAGGGTTCAATTCTTAGCACCTACATGGCAGCTCACAACTGTCTGTAACTTCAGTTCCAGCGGATCTGACACCCTCATACCAATGTATGTAAAATAAAATTAAATACATTTTGTTAAAAAAGAAAAGAAAATGCCAAGTTAAGAGATAGCTAACTTCATTGCCCATTTTCTCCAATAGAGAGGTCATCTAGGCAAACATTAAACAAAGAAACATCTGAATTAAATGACATCATAAATCAAATGGGCCTAGCAGACATCTACAGAATATTCTACCCAAACTGTAAAAAAAAATATACTCTATGCAACAGCCCATATACGATGACACAAAAGAAATCTTTACAAAGTCAGAAACAATGAAATTATTTCATATATTCTACCTGACCACAATGCAATAAAGCCTAAAATCAATGAATTATTAGCAGTTATACAAACTCATGGAGATTGAAAACCACATTACTGAATGATGGCTGGGTCAAAGAAATAATCAAAAGAAAATTTGTGAAAATTCTTAAAATCAAATGAAAATTTAACACAACAAAAAATATCTGGGACACATTAAAACCATCCCTAGGAGGGAAATTTATGCCCTGGAATTAGGAAGAGGGTTGGAGAGATGGCTCAGCAGCTATGAGCTCCTGCTGCTCTTGTTGAGTTCCCAGGACCCACCTCTAGTTCCAAGGCAATAAGATGCTACCTCTGGCCTCCTTGAGCACTCTATGTTTGTGATGCACTTATATACATGCAGGCAAAACACTCATATATGTAAAATAAAAATAAATACTTTGGTTTTACTTATAAAAGAGCACAAATAAATGACCCAATGATACAACTCAAGAATTTGGAAAAACAAGAACAAACCAAACCCAAATCTAGTAGATGGGAAGAAATAAAATAATTCAGAGTAAAATGAATGAAATAGAAACCAAGAAAACAGAAGGAATCAATGAGTCTAAGAGCTGGCTCTTGAAGAAGCTAAATATGCTCAGTAGACTGTTGATCCATGAACCAAAAGAAAACCCAGATGGACAGAATCAGCGATGAATGAGGAAACATTACAACAGACACCAAAGAAAGTCAGGCTAACATAAGGGAACACTTTAGAAACCTATATTCAACCAAGTTATAAAAGCTGAAGGAAATGGATGAATTTCTAGATGCACCCAAACAACCAAATTTAAACCAAAGAGAGGTCGACAACCTAAAACAGATCTATAACAAACAAGGAAATTGAAACAGTAATGAAAAGAAGTCAACGACCTAAACCGACCCTTAATGAGAAGATTGGAGCAGAAATGAAAAGCCTTCCAACCAAAGAATGGCTGGGCCCAGGTGAATTCACTGTAGAATTCTACCAGACTTTCAAAGAAGATCTATAGTCAGTATTTCCTGTATTAGTCAAAACAGAAAGGAAGGAAGGAAGGAAGGAAGGAAGGAAGGAAGGAAGGAAGGAAGGAGGAACGGAAGGAAGGAAGGAAGAAGAGAGAGAGAGAGAGAAACACAATGAGCACTCAAAAACTCCTTCCAAGCTAGAGCAGTTTACAAAGGAGCAAAGCTTTTAAAAAGAAGTGTTGGCAAACAATGGCATTTTGACCTCCATGTCACTCAATGGGTTCTGCTTGAGTTGGTTGTCAATTTATTCATTACAGAACCAGTTTGACTCTAATGCAGCTCACAAACAAGTTGGTCACTGAAATTGTGACATCGAGCCTTTAGCTTAGTTGTGCAAAGTAAATTTGTAAAATACAAAATTATGAATTAAATTCTGTTTTGTTTTGTTTTATTTTTCGAGACAGGGTTTCTCTGTATTCTTTTGGAGCCTGTCCTGGAACTCACTCTGTAGATGAGGCTGGCCTCGAACTCACAGAAATCTGCCTGCTTCTGCCTCCCAAGTGCTGGGATTAAAGGTGTACACCAACAATGTCTGTCTCTGAATTAAATTATTTTTAAACATGCAAAGTGATACTTTCCCCCCAGTAATCACTTCTTCATTAACGAGAAATAAAGAGGCACCTGGACATAGTGGCACACATCCCAGGCGGAGGCAAGGGAACCATGATGTGCATTTCCAAGCATCTGGTCATTTAGCGAAATGTGTATAGAAAGATTTATTAGACATGTTGTTCCCGAATATATTTTGCTAAAATACATTATGATCAATGATGTCAACCTCACACCTAGAGATGAAAGTTTTTGTCAAAGGAAGAAAACTATCACACTTATTTTTTTTGTTAATATTGAAAGAAATAGTATCGTTAAAACACAAACTACCAAAATACCACATTGCTGGCCTGTGTGATTGTGTGGTGGAGTGGTAGAATATTTTCTTCAAAAGCAAGAAGTCCTGGGTTTTACACACACACACACACACACACACACACACACACACACACACACACACACACACACACACTGGGGTGTACATATAATACAGCATTACAGAAATTGAACAGAGCTTTAGTTTACTTTCTGGTGTTATTTGCTTTCTGTTGCTACGATTAAAAGCTCTGACTGAAAACAGTCTGTTTGCTTTACATATTCTTCTGAACACAGTCTGTTGAAGAAAGCCAAGGCAGGAACTGAAGCAGAGGTCATGGAGGAGCACTTTCCACTAACTGGTCTGCTCCTCAAGGCCTGCTCAGTCTGCTTTTAGAGTAGAATTCTAAGAGGCAGGGATGGACTTGAAAACCAACAAACTGAGACTCTGGTTCCTACTCCTCAAAAGCTGTCCACGTATGTACTGAGTAAACTGTTAGTTCATTAAGTGGGCTTTTGGTATGATGACCTTGAATGCTGAGTCCCGTCCGCAGGGTTCAGAACATGAACCTGTGTGCAGCTCCTCAACCTGGAGCTCAGCTGGGTTGAGCAGAAAGTAGCTACGTGTGACAGCTTTTGGCTAATTAGGTCACTTCTTAGAGAAAAAGAAGTATCCTGGCAGTGGTGGCGCATGCCTTTAATCCAGCACTCGGGAGGCAGAGGCAGGCGGATCTCTGTGAGTTCCAGGACAGCCTGGTCTGCAGAGCGAGTTCCAGGACAGTCAGAGCTACACAGAGAGACTCTGTGTCAAAATAAAACGTGAAAAGAGGACTGGGGATATAGCTTAGGGGTAGAGTGCTTACTGAGCATGAACAAGGCCTTAGTTCAATCAAGCAATAAAAGAAAAAAATTACCTTTCTTATTAACTAGTTTCTTAAGTTCTCTGAGTCTCCGTTTCCTCAGTCACACAAGGCCAATGGTGTTTTTCATATCCACTCGCTGGTAACTCATTTGGTTAGTTATGAGGTTGAAAGGAGATCGAATGTGCAGATTGCTAAACATAGCAACCTAAATGACCCTTCTCCCTCTCAGATTACGGCAATATTTGCTTCTGTTAGAAGTGGGCAGCATTCTCCAGAGAGAGCTCTGGACGACCGACAGTAGTTTCTCATTGCCTATCAGGATGGTGTCAGTCAGAGCTGGAGAAATGGCTCAACTGTTAATAGCATCGGCTGCTCTTTCAGAGGATGGGGGTTCAATCCCAGCACCCACGTGGCAGGTCGCAACAGTCTGTAACTCCAGCTCCAGGGGATCTGACACCCTACTGTACTTTTGTGGTACACAGACAGACATGCAGACAAAACACCCATACACATAAAACATTTTTTAAAGGAAAAGAAATGAGGAGACCTGGCCCAGATGAAGTTTGGGAGACTGAGTCTAGAATGAAAATTCAACCAGCCTGCCCTGGGGGTCAACATATAACCCTTGTCTACTTTTCCCATGAACTAACCATTTGGCCAACGTGGGACATGTGTCTTAGTGTTTCATGTCGCCAGCTAGCACAGGCTCCTGCTTGAAACCAGCCATTCCAAAAAGCTCTCTATTAGTTACATGGGATTTTTTTCCGGCAGCCACACAGCACTCCTGTGGGGCCGAGGGTCTGACCCAGGTGCTTGTATTACCTTATCCCCATCTTTCATACTCAGAAACTAAACTCTTGATCAGTTGGTTTATGCTCACAAAATGCCAAGGGCTCATATACTTGCTTCGGTGGAAAATGTAAAGTTGAGAAAGAGACTGTCTCTTATCTTCTGAGGTCCTGCTCAAGAATAAACCAAGTGAGCTGCTATATGGTAGTTAAAGGCTAGGACAAGTCTGAAAACAGTGACGACAGAGCCATTTCAAGAACCCCTGCTTCTCAGCTCAGCATAGATGGGGAGGGAAACCCCAGTGTTTGGTCGTTTGGGTAAAGTCTTCCCAACACATGGGGTAGACTCATAGACGCAGAAAGATTTTGTTTGCCATTGAAGCCCTGTGGCATGCTATGGCTGATGCCTATCTCCTTTCTAATAGTTAAAAAATATTTGAGGTTTTCCTCAGGAGGAAAAATACATAGTGGCTCAAACACCTCTGAGTATTTTCGGTGGCGGCGGCGGCGGTGCACACCTTCAGTCCCAGCACTCAGAGGCAGGCGGATCTCTGTGAGCTGGAGGCCAGCCTGGTCTACAGAGTGAGTTCCAAGACAGGCTCCAAAGCTACTGAGAAACCCTGTCTCGAAAAACAAAACAACAACAACAACAAGAAAAGTATTTTCAAATTCTGCTTTGCATCTTATGTCAACCAACCAGTTAAGCCCCACTTAAATCTTAAGGACTTACTTTTGAAGTTAGAGTAAATACATAATGAATGAGGGTGTTTCAGCATGCAGTCATATACAAGCTGAGCACAGACATAATCATGAAAGACTAGGAGTTACGCAGACTTCCTGGTAGTCAGTCAGATTTGAGGGAGGGGAGTATGGATAAGTAAAAAGGATGAACTTCCAAGATGGCTTAGACAAAAGCCCAGCCCTTTGAAACAAGCCCTTGGAGGCTTTTTTCTCCCACCAGCGGGTCCACTGCTGATGAACCAAGACATACTTACATAACAGTTGCAGGATGGAAAAACTTCAAACTGACCAACCCTAAATTAGGGAAGAAAAACTCTCCAGAGACTTAAAAACCCCAGCCCTGGAGAAGAGCCTGGAGTTTTCCACCTTGTGTGTCAACAGCTTGTGAGTGTCTGTCCTCTTTGTGTGTCTGTCTGCGGCATGAGAGTGGCTCCTTAGCGGTCCCCTCCCCCCAAAAAATGCCTTTCTTGATCCTGTCTGTTCCTGTTTGTGCTGGTTGAGCTCTTTTCACCGCCATCTCTTGAGGTCAAAATTTTTTCCTGCCTTTTAATAACTTAATTGGCAGAGAAAATAAAAGCTACCAAGACCCCTAGATCGTATCAATCACTTACCTTCTGTGCAGAAAAATGTGTGCCTCTTATCTGGCCTAAACAAGCTTTGAAATCATGAACATCAAATAGATCAGAAAATTAAAACAGTTGCTGATTATAAACTGCAGATTTAGTGTAACTATTCAGTGCAAGAGAAGTACACACACACACACACACACACACACACACACACACACACACACACACTAACCTTATTCTTCTAGAACCTGGTCTGAGACAAGCTGTTAAATGGAAGTCAACAACCTTCGGAGTTGATTCAAAACTCCGCCCACCAGCCAGCGAGCCTTTAGGAAACGCCTGCTGTCTCCAAGGCTTCAGTTTACACTCGAAGTTGGCTAACACTTTGTTCCTGGTGGATGGGGGGTGGGATGGGGTGGGGGGTGGGATGGGGGTGGGACGGGACTGGACAGGACGGACTGGTGTGTTCTAGAAACTCACTGGCTTATTCAACAAACATTACCAAGTACACTCTTTTGGGTGTTGGCCCTACAGAGGAGGTATGACTTCCACTTCTATTTGGAGGAAGCTAGGTTATATAAGCATATAGATAAGTGTACTTTATTCAAAATAACTATAGCAGCAACACAATGAATGGCTATAGCTCATAGATTCATGCATTAATTGTATGTCAACAAAATTGTGAGGTCCAATAGAATGGAGCATCATGCTATGACTCATTTTTGTGCTGCTAAGGCAGAACACTTGAGAGTCAAGGGTCTATTTTTTTAGACAAACTAAAGGCTTACAGTTCTACAGGTTGGGCAATCTAAAATTGAGGGCCTTCCACCTGGAAAGGAAGGCTATCTTACTGCCTCATGCTACAATACAGGGTAAAATGAAAGAAAAAAAGTAGTGTGTCCTCCTTGATGAGAAAGGGAAGAGGCAAAGTCATGCATTCATCTTAGGAGTGGTTCCTAATGACTGCATGACTTCGCCCCCTCCCTTCCTTTCTCATTAAGGAGGACACACTGTTCTCTTTCATTTTATCTGCAATGGGGCAGATGGTTTATAAACAACTTTTTGGAATAAAAACATGATTGCCATTCCTGGAACAGGCAGTACCGAACTATCTGTAGTTAAGGTTACAGGTGGGACATGGCTCAATCCTTGAGAAACAGTGTTAATCATAAAGAGGAACTAACATAGTTTGTCTTTACTATAAGATGGCTTTGAAGCTGAAGATGGAGGCTGGCTGGTTCTTCAATACCTAGCCTATTCCTCAGTAACATTAATCTACTAATGAGGCCCTCATGGACCTCATCACCTCTTCAAAAGCGCTGACCTCAAAACTCTTACATAATGCATAATGGGTTAAGTTTCTGTAACAGGGCTGGCAGAAATAAAGATATTGTAAAGAGACACTTTGTGTCTCTCAGTCTGACTACCAGATTGAGAATAATAATGGACAATGGGTCTCAAAGAAATGGGACTCTCCCCACGAATCTCATGACGGGAGAAGGAGAAGGTCCTGGCCAGCTGGGGGAGTTTGCTTTCTGGGAAGTGATTTCTTTCACATAGTCTCTAACAGCTTGTCAGAGCATCTCACAAGACACTGAAGTCCAGAAAAATGATGAGTCTTTGTGAACAGTACACAGAGACCAGTACCTCACAGATGTGCATACCCTTGGCTCTCTGTTTAAACTTTGATCTCACTTCAGGACCTGGAGGACAGACTTGAAGCCATATTGACTAAATCTGCTTTTTCTGTTTTCCACCTTCAAACAGGCTCTTTTTCTTTTTCTTTTTTGAGGTAGGGTTTCTCTGTGTAATAGTCCTGACTGTCCAGGAACTTTTTCTGTAGACCAGACTGACCTTGAACTCACAGAGACCTGCCCACCTTGCTGGGACTAAAGGCAGGCACCACCACCATCCCGCTAAGCAGGCTTTTTTAATGTGCTTATTGAGGGCGGGTGGCCTGACCCGACTGAGGAAGAAGCCAGCCATCTTGGAAATCTGCCACCTTTCTTAACTATTCATGGTCCCTCTCCCTTCTGTTTGCCTACCAGGGAATCAGTCTGGAGTCTAGACCCTAACTCCTAGGCTCTCATTTCCACATCAGAACACAGAATTTGGAATAAACAAAATCTGTGTTCCCCAGCCATGGTCACTCACATTTGGCTCTAGAATAACCACCTTACCTTCTTCGAGGTTAGAACGTTTGGTTTTTTTTTTGTTGTTTGTTTGTTTGGTTTTGCATCTAAGCATCCTGGTAGGATGAGGAGGCTCACAAAAGTCAGGGAACTATAAAACTTGCAAGATTCATGAAGCTGATATGCCTTGAGGTTGAATTACAAACAGTCATTAGGACAAAGGGACTTTTGGGCAGCTAGCTTACTTGAAGCTGTCCAATGAACTCTGGCGATGCAGCTCTCAGTACCCGTTCTGAGGTGGACTTCTCAGTGGTGCCGCTACCCTAGTCCTATGCCCCGTCCAGTGGGACATTCAACGAAGGTCTGGAGGACACCTAGGAGAAAGATGGGGGACAGGAGATACGAGAGAGGATGACAAGACAGGATTCTGGTCAAGGCGACAACTTGACTCATCCCAAAGGGATTTATATAGGGGAAGTGAAGAGGGGGGCTGGGGTGTGCTGCAGCTGCAAGGACGCGGGCAAGTGGTCAGTGGGAGGGGCGGGTCCTCCTGTGTCCTCTGGTAACCCAACTGCAGGGCAAGAGGTCAGGGGTAGAACCTCCTGTGTTGCTTGGTAACCTGACAGCAGGGTCCGATCCTATCTTTTACAATTCACTATTGCTCAGGCCTATCTCCTGAGGACTTTGTAGTTTTCCAATTAAGCTAATCTTTAACTGACAGATAAACCGTAGGCCTGTTTCTTGGAATTTTCTTGATGTCAGAGGAGGCGGCAGGGTGGTCTGGAGGACGTGATGCTGCTGGAGCTAGCTCCTGACATCCCTGTGTGTTCCTGTGTGATCATCCAATCAAGCTCCTGTAAGTAACCACAGTAAACTAATTGATTTGCCAAGATAAATGGGCTTCCAGATGGGCTCCTTTTAGTCTGCCACTGATACCCTATCTGGGGTGAGTAGACATTGTTTGCTTCTCTCTAGGGAAAACACAAGTAGCACCTGCACAAGGACCTATAGATCCAAAAGTGTGTCAGGGAGATGCTGTGCTGTGCTCCCTGCTGTGGGGAATAAAATACCTCGCCAAGGCCTAGCTGTCTAAGGGTGGAACATCCCTTTGGGGGAACCCCAGGGTTGTTGTGTAGGTGTTATGGGGTGACATGCCTCCTCGATGAATGAGGTCTACCATGTGAGTACAGGGGTGTCCTCCAAACAGTTGATGGACTAGAGAACATACTTCATCGCTGAAAGTGGCATGTATGGGCTCTGGTTTTGGGCTCTGACGGCACTGTGTGGCCACTGCTATGGGTGACAGGAGATGCAACTATGGCTGAGCTGTCTAGAAAACAAGGGAGGACTTACAATGAGAAAAAGGTGTGTGGACGGTATTACAGGTTCCACTCTGCTTTGGTAGGAAAAACAGAAAAAAGAGTGGAGGAGAGGGAAGAGTTGCCTTACCATGTCCTACAGCTGCTAGGATATAAGGGAACGAGAGTGCATACCAGAATCTATATTCAAGAGCCCTTTCTCACATCCAAAGATGGTGTCTAAGTTATAGTTTCTATTGCTGTGAAGAGACACCGTAAACCATGGCACTCTTCTAAAGGAGAACATTTAATTGGGGTAACTTACAGTTCAGAGGTTAAGTCCATTATCATCACAGCAGGCAAGCACTGTGCTGGACAAGGAGCTGAGAGTCCTGCACCTTTGTTTGCAGGGTGGGGGGCTTCAAGATCGGGTTTCCCTGTGTAGCCTTGGCTGTCCTGGAACCCACTCTGTAGACCATACCAGCTTCAAACTCACAGATCTCTTCCTGCCTCTGTCTCCCCAGTGCTATGATTAAATATGTGTACCACCACTGCCCAGCTGAGAGTCTTACATCTTGATTCACAGGCAGCAGAAGGAAAAACTGTATCACACTGGCCAGACTTGAGCTTATAAAACCTCATAGCCCACCCCTACAGTGACACACTTCCTCCAACAAGGCCACACCTCCTGATAGTGCCACTCCCTATGGGCCAAGCAGTCACACACACACACACACACACACACACACACACACACACACACACACACACACGAGTCTATATGGGCAATTCCTATTCAAACCACCAGGGATGGGAAGAATCAGTGTAGAGAAAGCAAGGTTGAAGTGGCAGGTAATACCTCTCCAGGTCTGACTTTGATATGGAGGATGGAGAAACCCATGTTCTGGCATGCAGATGGTGATAGGAATGTGCTCACAGGAGAGCAGAGAAAGGACTTACTTCTACAGGGACACTGAGATTGGTATGGGGCTGTAGTGGTTTAGTTGTGTGTTCACAGGAGAGCAGAGAAAGGACTTACTTCTACAGGGACACTGAGATTGGTATGGGGCTGTAGTGGTTTAGTTGTGTGTTCACAGGAGAGCTGAGAAAGGACTTACTTCTACAGGGACACTGAGATTGGTATGGGGCTGTAGTGGTTTAGTTGGGCCCCGTGGGATGTGATCTTTAGGTCATAGGTGTCAGGGCTCTGTGTGATTCACACCAGCATACAAACTGGGTTTATCAAGAGGGCTATGACATCTAGGAGTGGGTGACGACAGGGGAAAGCAGATATTGGGGCCTGTCTAGGTCACTCAAAAGAACATGCGGCATGATTTATGTCAAGGTGGAATTCCTAGGGAAAGGACTGACCCAAAGTTCCAGGATCATCTGTCTCTGGAATGCCAGAGCCTGAATGGGAGTTTCCTAAGGGGGTAAAAGAAGTAGAAACTAGTTCCTCTTTCCTTTTGCGGTCATCGCTGGATTGCAGCCGCCAAAATAAAGTTCAGTCCCTTCGTGACTTCTGTGCAAAGCAAGAACCAGAAACAGCATTTCAGTGCACCTTCTCACATTCCGAGGAAGATCGTGTCTTCCCCTCTTTCCAAAGAGCTGAGACAGAAGTACGCTGTTCCATCTATGCCCATTTGAAAGGATGATGGAGTTCAGGCTGTCTGAGGACACTCCAAAGGTCAGCAGACTGGCAAAGTAGTCCAGGTGTACAGGAAGAAATTCGTCATCTATGTTGAATGAGCGCAGCGAGAAAAGGCTGATGGCACAACTGTCCATGTGGGCATCCACCCCAGCAAGGGGGGTATCACCCGGCTAACACTGGACAAAGACCACAAGAAGGTCCTGGGAAGGAAAGCCAAGTCTCGACAAATAGGAAAGGAAAAGGGCTCTCCTGAGAAGAGGCAGGAGTAGGGGCGTCTCCTACACAGCTCTCATTAAAGACTGTTTAAGAAAAGAAGAGTAGAAACTAGAACAGTACAGGTGAAAAGGATTAAATTTAACCTACAGGTTAAGTATGTAATGGAAACTGTATACCCAGACCTAGGTTATTTTAGCAGCCAGGGCTGGCTGACCATGACAATGGCCACGGTCCTGGGCCATGACCTGTCACAACCAGGAAGCTGGCTTCAGTAATAGACAAAACAGAGACAGCATAGCCCCCTTCTATCATGATCCTGAGCTGAGCCTAGCACTATGAGCAAGGCTTGCTGAAGCTATTGTGGGCTGAAAATGTGTAATGGTCTCCTGGCAGCAGCATATGAGGATGAAGATGAGTTTTCTGTTCCAACATTGCTTCTAACAAATGATGACAGAAATGATGAGATCTTTTCATTCTTTTTAAAAAGATTTGTTTTTATTTTGTGTGTTTGAGTGTTTTGTTTGTATATATGTCTACCACATGTGTGCCATGTCCACATATCCAAGAAGAAGGCATTGGGTATCCTGGAACTGCAAATGCACGGTTATGTGCTGCCATTTCAGAGCTGGGAACTAAACCCAGGTCCTCTGCAAGAGTAGCAAGCATTTTGAACTGCTGATCCATCTCTCCAATTCTAAGAGAAAGATCTTTTGTTTTGTTTTGTTTTTTTGTTTATTTTTTAAGATGTAGCTTGGTGTTCTTTTTTTATTTAAATTAGAAGCAAGCTTGCTTCAAATGTCAATCCCAGTTCCCTCTCCCTCTCCTCCTCTCCTGCCCCCCAACCATCTCCCTCCCCTCCCCAGGGAGGGTGAGGCCCTCTATGGGGGATCTCCAAAGTCTGTCATATCATCTGGGACAGGGTATAGGCCCTCCCCCGTGTGTCCAGGCTGAGAGAGCATCCCTCCATGTGGAATGGACTCACCAAGTCCATTCATACACCAGGGATAAATACTAATATACTACCTGAGGCCCCATAAATTGTGGTCTAGTGGTTAGGATTTGGCGTTCTCATCTATGAGAAAGATCTTTTTATTCTATATTAGACTATAGTAGTGTTTTCTTTTTAGTATCCTCTTAATTATCCAAGAGCCATTGACATTTGATTATAAAAATGGCAGTGGACTTTCAGAGATGCTTCCTATAAAAGGGTCTCACTATTGCTAACCCTTGAGAGTCCTATAGCTTTGGAAACATATTTGGAGCAGAAAAAAATAGCAATTACAGAGTTTGAAGGAAGTCATCCTTGTGTAGGTGAAGAAGGAAATCCCAGGAGCAGCCATATAGTTGCTAGGTGAGTATCCACTGCTAGGCTGAACCACCTCCCTATGTGCTGGTAACTAGGGAGGCCCCTGAAGCCTCACAAACCATAAAGGCTATTGCCAATGCTGTTGGTTGCATGCTGGAACTAGAAGGGAGATGACTATTGCGGCAGATACTGCATTCATTTGTTGCAGGACATGGAGAAACCAAGCTAGAACTGAGTTGAAAGCATCTGCCTTGCTGGCAGACTTTTGTAGTCAAGAAGGCAATATACAGGCTATTGGGGAAAGAGCTTTTGCTGACAGTCCCGCTCATCTATGGATCCTGCTTACTACACTGTCAACATGATAGGCAAGACAGGTTGTGGTGCCTGAGCCATGAGCGAGTCTAATGCATCGGGTGAGAGCCTGGAGATTTAAGTAAAAGATGAGACGTCTGGCTGTTTGTGCTAAGAGGACGTGTGTGTGTGTGTGTGTGTGTGTGTGTGTGTGTGTGTGTGTGTGTGTGTGTGTGTGTGAGCAAGCGGTTGCCTTTATTGCAAGGAGGGAGGAGTCTTTTTTTTTCTTTTTTCTTTTTTTGGTTTTTTGAGCTAGGGTTTCTCTATATTGTTTTGGAGGCTGACCTGGAACTTGATCTGCAGATCAGTCTGGTCTCAAACTCACAGAGCTCTGCCTGCCTCTGCCTCCCAAATGCTGGGATTAAAGGCGTACACCACCAACACCTGGCTGAGGGAGGAGTCTTATATACAGATTTACATGTAAGAGTCCATGTTTGGCTGGACAGTGGTGGCGCACGCCTTTAATCCCAGCACTCGGGAGGCAGAGGCAGGAGGATCTCTTGTGAGTTCGAGACCAAGCCTGGTCTACCTATCCAGGACAGGCTCCAAAACAATACAGAGAAACCCTGTCTCGAAAAGCCAAAAAAAAAAAAAAAAAAAAGAGTCCATGTTTGGAGCTGGAGAGATGGCTCAGAGGTTAAGAGCACTGACTGCCCTTCCAAAGGTCCTGAGTTCAATTCCCAGCAACCACATGGTGGCTCACAACCATCTATAATGAAATCTGGTGCCCTCTTCTCAGACATATGCAGGCAGAATATTGTATGCATAATCTTTAAAAAAAAACAGAGTCCATGTTTTCCTCATATTAGATGTTGATGTCAGTTGGGCAAGGCCGGGGCTGTAAGCCAGGACTAGAGAACAGGATGTACCTGTGGTTATTGGCTGACAAACGACTCAGAGACAGAGTGGGGGCTGGGACCCAACAATGGGTGAGATGGTAAGACGAGATAGTGCTGTGGCTATCATGGATGCGACCAACCCCTTTCTAATTGGATTTAAGGTCTCCTCCACAGAAAAAAAAGTCATGTTTTTTATTGTAATCCAGAGCACAGACCTGGAGTTCCAACAGGGAAGCTGTAATGAGCATTCTTCCCGCCAGCCTGGTCCCAGAACCATGTCAGTCCCAAATGAACACACAGGACGCTATATTAATTATGAAGCTGTTGGCAGTTTGCTATGGTTTCTTATTGGCTAGCTCTGACTTAATTATTAACCCATAACTGCTAATCTGAGTATTTCCATGTGGTCTTCTCTTACCAGAGAAAGGGTTCACACCTCTTATGTCTCTTTTGTCCTACATCATGACTGACTGTGCCTCCGTTTCTCAGAACCCTCCACCTCTCCTAGTCCCACCTATCTTGCTCCCCTATTGGCCAACAGTGCTTTATTTATCAACCAATAAGACAAACATATACACAGAAGGACTTCCCCATCAGGAAGCTACTGCTGTTGTTTCATTCTGTGTTTAATTGCCTTCTAAACACTTGTTTTTAACCACAGATTACTGCTGCTACCAGTCTGCTGTAGAGGAAAACTGATTTTCTGTTGGGGGAAGTAGGTTATGGAGGCTCAGAACAGGCCAAATTGTTGAGAATAAGTGATTCTGTTGTGGCAAAGTAGTCCGATGGTTAGTTATAAATGGAACAAAATAAATATCATGTCCTCCAAGGCTTGGGAAACACTGCAAAAGTGAAGGCAGAAAGAATGCATGAGAACAGGGTGGAGTCGTGTAGAAATGCCTTCCAGTTTGAAACACAACCTCCCAGAGGGAGGATTGGCAGACTCGGGGAACTCATGAGGCCACTGGCCAAAGTTACATAAGCAGAAAACAGCTGCTGGGGGAGAGGAGCTGCCCTCAAACATGTACTGAACTCCGCAGTGACAGGCAGGTGTGAGCTGCTGGAGCCTCTGTAGCCATAAGATTTTTGTGACTTTGCACTTCAACCACCGTTGGCTCACCTGTCATGGCTTTTTTATCAGTGAGCCTGATGCTGGGACTAAAACCATGCACCGACAGACCTGTTCTCCATTCTTTCTTACTCATTGTCTCATGTAAGAAGCATCGTTGTACTTAAGACCAATCCAGATCACTTTGGTACTATTTTCAACCTTTATTTTATTTTATGAGTGTTTTTCCTGCATGTATGTCTATATATCATGGAGGTGCAGTACCCACAGAGGAAGATGTTGGTTGCTGGCTGGTTGTGTGATGGCTGGAAACCAAACCCTAGCCCACTAGAAGAGCAGTTCATGTTCTTAGCCACCTCAACAGGCCCCCTACCATGCTATGTCTGTCTGAGGATGGGTGGCCCCTAACCTACTCTATTATCAAAATCTGGTGACTGATGGCAATGCAAGGATAGTGGTGGGATTCTGCTCCCAAAGGGGATGTGATAAAACTACAGTGAATGCTACCTGAAGCCTCTTACTATTGAGACGCAGTCTGCTCAGAGTTTATGACTATATTTTTATGTGACTTATGATTGAAAACAAGTTAGCATCATGGATAGAAAATAATCCATAGGTCCTGACCTGCACATTACCAAAATAATTAGACCCTAAACTGTCTAGATTTTTCATTTATTCAGTGAAAAGTATTTCCCTGTCTATGTGGTATGTACATCAGCATGTACATGTATGCCTGGCAAGGGAGAAACTTGAAGGGGCCACAGTAAAGGGTTCTTTCCTCGAGGCCTTTGCTGAAGAGGTGGTCCTTTGGTGCTACTAATGAAAACATCGAGTCTGAACCAGCTTCATCCTGTTGATTTCAACCATGGGCACTTGCTGAAGCAGCAGGTGATAACATGAGGAAGGAAGCCCAGAGTGACTTCTTCCCTAAGTGACTTCAACCCCTAAGAAGATGTGCATTGTAGAGGGGACGCACCGTAAAACTCTACGATGACAGACAGCCTTAGCTTCCTTCAAGGGAGCGGTTAGTCACAAAAGAGGCCTGAAAACTAACCAGTCACACACTTCAACAAAGGAAGGAAAACTACCTACCCACAAGGGGAGGGGCAGGAAAGGGGAGCACCCACACTGGCATCAATGCCTCACATTCCAAGCGCTCAGCAGACACAGGGCTGCCACAATGGTCAGTGCAGAATAGAACGCATCTGTCACTGCAGTCCATCTGGAACCAGTTACTCAAGCATTCTTGGTTTTTCCCTGCAGACCGCTTACTACTAAATTCGAAGTCACTGGTTGGGAATATAGCCCCTTTACCTGTGCCAAACCCTTTAACTGCCAAACCCTGGGCGAGGCACAGATATGGATTCTGTGGGGAGGTGGGCAGGCATTGGACACAGGTGAAGACAGAAGGCTCATGACCAGTAACTTGAAGCTAGTACTACATATGAAAGTGGAGTCATAATCGTGGAGAACTATGGAGGGCCCTAAATAAGGATGGCATAATAAAAGCCATCTTAGTATTCCTACTGTATTCTTAGAGACTAGCACTTAGTTAAGTTTCTGTTTCTCTGTGCCTGCTTATCTTCCTGTACAGCACATTTTCAAGGCCTGCAGTCCAGGCTCTCCCACCCTTCTGCCTCCTGGCCTGCAGGCCAGACTCCCCCAGCTGCAGACTTGTGTCCTTGGAACACACCCTGCCAAGGAGAACTTCTGCTCCCCCACCCTTCTGCTCCCTGCCTTACTTAAGCCCTGTTGGTACTTTCAATAAATGAGACTTGATCAGAATACTGTCTTGTCTCCGTCTCTCGCGTCTCTTTCTCTGGTCCCCCCATTCTCACTCCCTCCCCTAGGTTGACTGACCCCCTGACCCCCGTGGGCCCAGGCAGAGAATAGCTGCTATTCAAGAGAAGCTTAAGTTGGACCTGGATTCTGCTTGTGGTCAGCTGGTGATGGTTAGCAAAAAAGAGGTGCGGAGGAAGCAGGCTGACCAGAGGTTTAAATGGGCCCTTTTATTGACTTAATTCTACTTAGGAAGCAGGTAATGGCCTCAGATAACATGAAGGAGTGGGACACAATGAGTCAGTGAGGGAGGGAGGGAGGGGGAGGGAGGGGGAGGGAGGAGGGAGGAGGCTGCAGGAGTGGGGAAGGGCTACTTTCATCCTTCTGCTAGCTGTTATGGAATACCTGAATATAGAGCAACTTCCTGATAATTGTAAATCTGCTTTGGGACATGGTTTTTCGAACAGCCAGCCTTTGCTCTTCCATGTAAACATCTGTCTGTCTGTTTTTTTAAATCAGCTCTGTGCACAGCTGTTCAGCATTACACTCACCACTGCAGTTTGTGGACTGCTTTTTTGACTCCAGAAATTTTTTATCAAGCTAAATTTGAGGGGGGGAGGGGAAATGTTGTGACAGGTGAGAGACTGAAAATACAAAGTTAAACTGCCTGGAGAAGCAAGAGAGAAAGAACCCATTGGCACCCGCATCTTGGTTTCCAAATAATGCAATCCACGAAAAAGAAGCAGGGCTCCTGCAGGCGGACTAGCTCTGCTTGGCCAAGACCAGAGAGTGCAGAACTGCTCGTGGATGACGCCTTAAAGGCCTTGGCGTTATTTCATGAGACTCTCTAGCCAAATTTGGAATAATCTGAGAAAAAGCAAACAACCAACAAACAAAAGCAAGACTGTGGGGAATCACAGACCCTGGCTGGAAACCCACTCCTCGATCAGCCTGGGAGCAGGCAGCTGCGAGACAATGTTTACTGAAAACATGTTTACTGAAAACGATTCAGTGCCTTTAGCTCCTGATAAGGGCTCTGATAAGGGCTCGCTCACAGAAACACCATGACTTTGATCTTCCCGATGGCTAACTACTGCTGTTCCAGATTCTGGTGCCAGAGATTTAACCACCAGCCAGGAGGAGGGCTGTGACAGGTCTGTATGAGAGGTGTGTGAGAGGTCTGTTGGAGATTTGTGCGTGTATGGATGACAGAAGTTTTTCTGAAGGGAAGCATTTTTCTTGGGAAGTGCTCCTAAGCCGATTTGGGGAGCATGAAGTTTTCTTAACGCAACCGACCAGTCTCTGTGTCATCAATCCTTGCCACATTCTTGGGTACAGGCTGCGCAGCAGGTGCGGCACAAGACAAAAGCAATGACGATGCCAAAAAGAAGGAAGTAAAGGCTGTTTTGCAGAATTAGAGCTAACTAATGAAAAGTTAGTGCTAACTTACATAAAATTACAAAACCACCAGTGTTCTAATAACTTATTTTGGTAAAGATCATAATGGAAACTGGAAGAGGGAATGCCTGGATATCATCCATGGATTACCTGATTATTATGAAGAGAAAAATGCATATAATGGAACAGTACAGAGAAGTTACCAACTATCTCACCCTTAAACTTAGTTTCCCAAGGAGGACATTTGGATGTACTCCTGTTCCCCCTGCTGTGACACTGAAATGGGCAAAGTAACACCTGTTTTAAAAAAAATCAATAAAACAGTCCCCCAACCACAAGGTAGAAATCAGGCATGACATTCTGCGAGATATGGGCTCAAGGACATGGTGGGGAGACAGGTATTATTCTCAGTGAATCCTTGATGGTCTTAGTATCGCCAAGGAGTTGAAACAAGGGAAAGGCTGAGAAACCATCATGGCTTTGGGGAAACTGAGGAAACGGGACTAAAATCAACAGTGGATCCTGGAATAGCGAGAGGGCCTCAGTGGAAAAGCATAATAAAATCATAGTAAGGTCTGCTGTCTATTTACTCACGACCAGTAACTCTTTCTCGGTTTGCATGGTTATATAAAGTGTCAGCACAAGGGAAGGCTGGGGGTTCTGTGGCACCATGTTTTCTATAAATCTAAAATTATTCTCAATGTCGTTTACAGACCTTGCCTAGAGCACCATGACTCACTACTAAAAACTCTGCAAGAGACAGGCTCCTTTGATGGCGTCAGCCGGCTAATTCTGGTGGGTGTGATAACCCTTACCTGACAGAAATAAATACTTAAGTGTGGCACTCCGACAGGAAACAATGTCTGGATTAAAACACTCCCACAAACCAAGAGGAGGCAGAAGACACATCGAACAGGATTGGCATAAGCTGATTACTGACAGTCAGGGTAAGGGCTCCACACATAGAATTTATGCCATGTTTTGTTTGCTTGTATCTGAAATTTCGACAGGAAACTAAAAGAGAACAAAAGCAAAAATGCACATGCGGCCAAGGAACCAAGGCTGCCAGCTGAACACCAAGAACAGAAAATTCGCCTAGAGCGTGTATAATTAATACAACTGGCAAAAAAAATCCCGTTTATTTACCTTTGTCCTTATTAACTAATAGATATTCATTGGACATGACACAGAAACCAAGGGTACCATAAAGGTGAAAAATATTCCAATAATTGCATTCTATTTACAAGGGAAAGTCTCCGGCAGGACCTTCTGGCTGAATGGGACCTGCTGTGATGTGGACGGAAGACCCATTGTCTAACTCCACTTCAAGAAATCCATGAGACCTCTTCCGTTCGCACAGCTGACGCCACGATGGCTCTCTGCCTTTCTAAAAAAGGAAAGCAGCACGGAGTGGCAAGGCTAGCTCCTATCCTCTACCCCGTTGTCTGGGCATAATAAAATGATCAGGATTTGAGAACAGAAGTGTTTTCTTTTATTGCTGCGTTCCCGTTCGCACAGTAAAAAGATGCCACCGTCTTAAAATGTGAAGGAAAGAGCAAAACCCGAGCCCGAGCTTTCACATTCTGGATCCGAAGAAGCTGGAGTCTGTAAGGGCATAATCCTACCCCGGAGGCGGGACTCGGAAGGCTTCACCAATCCAGATGGCTGTGTTTAGCATACTCCGCCCAACAACAAAGCATTCTGGTTAACGTAAAAAACAACCTAAACTGAAGTCACTTTTTCTTAAATTTGGCATGAGGGGAGATAAAATTCACCTTCTTTATGCGAGATAAGACATAAATTTTATTACAAGACCATACTTTGGGTAGTAGCAAAAATCAACATATGTGAAAAGACACAAAGTTCCATGGGTTTATAAGCCTAGCACACACACCAGTTCCCTCGGATGTGAGGGCGATCTGGCTGCGACATCTGTCACCCCATTGATCGCCAGGGTTGATTCGGCTGATCTGGCTGGCTAGGCGGGTGTCCCCTTCCTCCCTCACCGCTCCATGTGCGTCCCTCCCGAAGCTGCGCGCTCGGTCGAAGAGGACGACCTTCCCCGAATAGAGGAGGACCGGTCTTCGGTCAAGGGTATACGAGTAGCTGCGCTCCCCTGCTAGAACCTCCAAACAAGCTCTCAAGGTCCATTTGTAGGAGAACGTAGGGTAGTCAAGCTTCCAAGACTCCAGACACATCCAAATGAGGCGCTGCATGTGGCAGTCTGCCTTTCTTTTGTCCTATATTTGAAGTATTTTTTTTTTAAATTTACAATTTACATTTACTTGTTTATTTAATGTGTATTGTCTGTTTTGGTAACCCACTCCCCCCCGCCCCCCACCCCCCCACCCCACCCCACCCACCGGTACAGGCAAGCTGCAACTCTAAACTGCTGGAGGAGAGTGGAGAGGGAGGTAGTGAAGAATGCCATTTAATCTAGCATGGACAAACAACTTCATGTTGCAAGAGAAGAGCTTTAGAGAAATACTGGGGAAGCCCAGGGGAAACAAGGGAGGAGGAGGAGGAGGAGGAGGGAAAGGAAGAAAGAAGGAAAGAAAGAGGGAGGGAGAGAGAGAGAGAGAGAGAGAGAGAGAGAGAGAGAGAGAGAGAGAGAGAGAGAGAGAGAGAGAGAGAGAGAGAGCGCTGGCTGACTCTTTTCTGTATAGTTTAGAAAAGAGCAGGCTGACTTAGGGAGCTGTGGCCCTGCAGGCTGACATTCTCATTGTAAGGCTAATTACTCTGCCTTGTTAGCATGGCTTACAGTAAACCCTCCTACCTAGGGTGGTCCTTTGCCCTGGTGACTCACCTGGCCCAAGTAGAATGTTATTTCTCTCTCCACCCAGACCAGAAATTCTATTCTCTTGTCCAGAAGGACTTTTTTTTCTTAATACACATTTATTGTTACACACTAATATCCAGCCCCCTCAACAGGTAACGCTAACAGTCACTTAGGAGCCAGATCAGGGATCTGCGCCTTCATTAGTGTTTCTGACATCTCCAGCTTCCGGAAAGGACTTGGCTGTCCTTGTCATTTCTGACTTCTATGTTTTATTTTTATGTTTGTGAGCATCTTGCCTATGTATACACATCCTACCTATGTGTACCACAAGTGTACCTGATGGCGGAGGAGTTTAGAGGAGGATGTTGGTCTCCTGAAACTGGAGTCCCCGATGGTTGTGAGCCACCATATTTACAGGTGCTGAAAACTGAACCTGGGTCCTCTGCAAGAGCAACCAGCGCTCACAACCATTCAGCCATCTACCTTGACAGCCCTTTGTTTCCGGCTCTTAGCCAAGAAATAAACTGGTTACTTTTCTTTGGGGTCTTCTACCCTAAGCTGCCTAGCTAATTTCTACCTCTTGCTCTCATTAGCACCTCTAAAGAGGTAGCCCTAACTGCCACTGGGAATTGGGGTTCAGATCGACCTTGCTTCTTCCAATGATTGCCAGCATTGGGTGAAGGGACTCTTGCCAGCCCAAGCCTGGCAAACATGGATCCGGCAGGCTTTGCCATTCCCCCATTCCCTCTGCCTTGCTAAACTGTTGGATTATTGGCCATTTCCTCCTTTGAGGCTGGTATCAAGGCCCAGCTATTAAAGTATTGAAGTCCAACAACCAAAAGTCTCCTTTTGGCTCACCTAATTAACGTGCCCTAATAAAATTAAACACCTCATCCTAACACAGTGTTTCTCCTTTTATCTTCATAAACGGATATTTGCCTATTGATGTCCTCTCTGTCTAGAGGCAGTCCTTTGTCCCGTAGGACAAATACCCCTTTTCTGCCTCCCTTGTTCCTTTCCCTTCTACTTCATCCTGTCTCTGTCTCTTATTCCCTACTCTCTATCCCTCTGGGGCAAATAAATCTTTGTTTGAGAACTTGGCCTTGGGGTGTCTTGTGCTGGCTTCCCGCCTCCTCTTTCCCCTTTCTATGATCCTTTTCCCTGATAAAAACCCACTCCACTTGAACTCTGTCACATTGCATCTTTCTCCCGAGAGTGGCTTTTTAAAAATCACAACATTGGTTCCCTGACCGGGAAACAGTGATAGCATGGAATCCTAACCACAGCCATGGCTGTTACACACACACACACACACACACACACACACACACACACACACACACACACACAGAGGTGGGGAGGGAGGGAGAGAGGAAGGGAGGAGAGAGAGAAGCTGATTAGCCAGTATAACACAAAAAAAATAAATGACCCAGAGACAGATATTGGGGTTTAAGATGAAGATCAGAGAAGCAAAGCAGCTGGCCACTGGCTTCTTATCTCTGCCTCAAACTGAATGAACTGATACTATCTTCATGAGCTCTCACCAAGTCTCAGACTGTAACCTCTCCTCAGTGTGGCTGGAGAATGAATGCCTTATATTGAGATCTTCTTTCTGACTTACATACTTCCCTAAGGTGTGAGCTATAATTCTCTTTTAGACTGATTCAGTCTCGTGTATCCCTGGGTGGCCTTGAACCCAGAGACATTGGTCTACCTCTTAATTCTGAGTCCTAGGATTAGAGGTGTGTACCACTACCTCTTAGCTTCTGGCTGCTGGGATTAAAGGTGTGTCCCTGGCTTCTATAGCTTGTGGCTGATTTTGCTTCCTGAATCCTCAGGCAGGCTTTAATGAATCATAAATAATATATCACTACAAACCAGAGAGTCAGGGACAGTGGTCCTTACTGTAATCTCAGCTGTCAGGGAGGTGGAGGCAGGAAGATCAAGTCAGGCCAGTTTGGGTTCTGTGGTGAGATGCTATCTCAAATGGTGCATGCCTTTAATCCCAGCACTCAGGAGGCAGAGGCAGTGATCTCTGTGAGTCTGAGGCCAGCCTAATCTATAGCATGAGTTCCAGGACAGCCCATGCTACACAGAGAATCTCTATCTAGAAAAACCAAAACCAAACCAACCAAACAACAATTTCCTTTCAGTTCTAAAGTTAACAGCTAGTTAAAGGAACCAAAATACTCAAATCAAGTTTTCTTAAATTGTAACTTTATTTGGAGCAGAAGTTTCCATATATAATGTTAATACCATCAAACATCTTAGGAGAGACCATTCAGAAAGTAGTATTTTGTTTCAGAAAGGTCTTTCTTTGCTTCCAGTCCTTTGCCTTCTAGTTAAAGAAAGATCGATTTCTAATCAAATCAGTGGAACTAGACTGCATTCTGTACCTGGGCATGGGAGATCAGAGGCTTCATTCAGGTGGAGATTAAGTCACATTGTCAGTGTTTAAGGAGAAACCAATACCAATTAAGACGACACATGCCCCTATTTTGTCTTGATAATTTACATGAGCAGGTCATCCCAATAAATTATACAAACATACAGAACATTTGGTTGGAAATTGTAAAAACAATTCTAAAAAAACCTACCCACATATATTAAACAAACACATTGCTACGGTATGCTTAAAACAATGAGTATGTCAAATGTTTTCTTATAAACATATTGCTTCTGGTCATACAGTGAGTTGAGTCTGTGTCACACACATACACCCCAATGGCACAAAGCAATGGCTTGATGTTATGGAAGTGTGGCGTTATAGGACTACATGGTGCCACTAACTTCAACAGTACTTATACTGGAAATGAAAGGGAAGGACTCTTTCTTTGACACGCTTTGCCTTCAGGCATTCAGGTCTGGATATTTCCAGAACACGACAGTGTCACTTTTTTAGATGTACATGGTCCTTAGGCAAGCACTATGTCTGAAACATTGTTTTAGGATCAGTTTTCTATTCTTGGTAATTGATGGGACTTGTTGTAAAGGAAATTATGCAAATGCAGTTTCCCTTGTCTCCTGGCACCTTAGCATCCCCCTGCCACCGAAACAGGCCCCAAATGAGCCACTCTGTACCATTTCCTGACTTGCCAGAAAGCTGTTTTTGGTTTTGATCTTTTTTTTTTGGTTTTATTTTCTTTAAATAATAAATCCCCTTTATTTAAAAATTATTTAATTTAATGTAATATAATTTAAATTTTATCTCTATGGGTGTTTTACCTGCATTCATATCTGTGCACCATGTGCATGCCTGATGCTTTCAGCCAGAAGAGGGTAGATTCCTTGGAGCTAGAGTTGTGAGCCACCTTGTTCGTGCTGAGAATCAAACCTGGGTCCTCTGGAAGAGCAGTCAGTGAGCCCTCTTAACCTCTGAGCCACACTCTCCAACACCCGAATGTTTTGTGATTGTAGAGGAGACACAGTCATGACTAGATGCAGTCTAACTTATCACTCCTGTCAGTGTTTCGCTTTCCATTTCATAATTCTACAGTAGCTAAAACATATCCAACAGGCAAATTTGACTATCACTGTTTTAAAAGGTCTATATTTCATAGCTTGTCTATAATTTCTCCTTTACCCATTCTGATGGTGGAAAAGTACTTCTGAGGTTTTTTGCTAGTTCTTTAGAACTTGGCTTTTTAGTCATCTAGATTTCTCAGCTACTAGCTGCTTCTTTCATGTAAACAAGTATGTTTAACTTCTCACGGAAAGCTGTTTGCTACTTAAGGAAGGAAAGCAAAGACAGGGCTCACAAAGCATCAGGAAAACAATTTTATAACGTGCTACAACCAGGCTGCTAGGATTTTTGTCAATTCATAAATAACGTAATGACCTTAGTTAACACTAGCTAGATTACAGAGAACGTGGTGTTAACGATTTATTTGTATATCTAAGTGGTATCTACAAGTAAAAACCAACTTTCTGGCTAGCTGAGCAGGATTTGAGATTAATTTACTTTTTATACATAATACAGAAAAGAGAAAATAAATATTAACCTCACAGTAAAGGACTCATCTCTGGACACACATTTGTTTGTTCAGAATATAATACAGACACGAACGGTTCCAAGTTGTGCTTACATCTACATTTTCTGAAGGTCTGTTGCTAGCTTGTTGACAGGGAAAACTTCCCTATCAAACCCATGTCCATTATGTGCTTTCTTCATGCCCCTCAGAATCAAAGTGCTTGGTCAAGTGTACTTTTGAGTCAGATTCTCCAAAGTATAAATTACTTCTTGATTTTTGGGCAGACACAGCCCACTGGAAGCCATTATTAAGACATCAAAGCAATCATTAACATCAAAGCAATATATTTGGCTGGATGGACCACATGGGAATGCCTATATTCACCTTACCCTGCCATTTCAACCTATAAAAATAATCATTTCATAAGGTTTGCTTTGCTGTATGTTGGAAACGGTAACCAAAAGAGTTGTTTAGGCCCTGGGAGAATGTGGACTAATATACCGTTAAGGTTTGCTATTGCACTCACTGGTAACCATGAGCAGAGGCAGATGTACAATCAGAGATGGAAGAAAGGGGTCCTCTGCATTGTCCTGTCTCCAAACTAGCTTCCTCACTTGCAGAATTGCTGTAAACATTCCTCTCAATGGAACAGCCTGTCCAACAGAGGTCTCACCCTTGAAAGAGACCACACAAGGTGGGGGGGGGTTGAGATGTGGCAAAGTCTGGGCATAACATTGTGGCAATTGTGACTTCTCAGGCAATTTAAATCTCCCCTAAGCCTTTTCCACTCCTAAAAATTGTCCTGAGAAGTTGGCTCCGATAGTTAAAGAACTGCCCGGAGTCAGATATGGAGAGCTGAGCTGAATGCAACATTTGTTCTCAATTAAAAAGTAAAGTGGTGTGTTAGCGCACACCTTTAATCCCAGCACTCAGAAGGCAGAGGCAGGTGGATCTCTGTGAGTTCTAGACCAGTCTGGGCTACATAGAAAGACACTTGGCTCTTTTGGTCATTCATCCATTCATCTTGGTAGGGATATAAGTTTAATTGATTGTATTAACATATGTTTGGAGATTTTTACAATAAAAAAGAAAATTATAATAAAAAGGTACCTTTGACATAAAAAAGCTTTCCTTTTAAGGGGTTCTAACAATTGGATAAATTATAAACATTTTATGTGTTTTGTCAGTGGGTTGGTATTTACAAGCATGCAGGCGCCTATAGAGGCCAGAAGAGGGCATCGGATCCCTTGGAACTGGAGTGGCTGAGTCATTGCTCAGTTGAGCGTTTTAAAAAATGCAAAAAAGCATGGACCACAGGCGTGGGAGAGAGCCTCTTGTCTGGCTCTAGGGAGGTAGGTGTAGACACCTGCAATGGGCTGCCACCTCCCCTGCTTCCGGGGCACGCTGATTTGTAGCTAAGTACTGTTTTCTGTGTTGGATGCTGTGGGTGAGTTGGGGGCAGTGAAGGCCCGAGGAAGGCTTGCTGGCAGTGGCGTGGGTAGACTGGTGCTGGCTGATAGTCCCCACAGAACAAGAAAAGTTCACCTGAACAATGCCTGGTGACCACGGCTCCTGCCACCTCCCTGAGTGTCTGCCCAGCAGAGAGCTGGTGGTCCCTGCTCAACCCCTTGGTTTTTATCTGGATATTTGCAACTGTATTTATGAGTGCTATAAAATTTCAAAAAAAGTTCTCTGTTCTGGGGGTGAATTGAAGTGAGTCCAAATAAAGCGAGTTCAGGCGAGAACAGCAGTGTGAAAGACGGTAGATTAGAGCCACTGGGCGCACAGAAAGCCCCTGTTTGAAACAAGGCATGGCCCACTCAGGAAGCTAGAGGCAGGAAGGCCAGAACTCAGTGCCGTCCTCAGCTACTTGGTGAGTGGTAGGCAAGCCTGGGATACATAAGCCCCAGCCACAAAACAACAACAAAACAACTTCTGCCCCCAGAACAACCAATGTGAGCTACTAAGAATAGCAGTGGATGGGCCGTTTTCCTAAGATCAGTCCAAGAAAGCCTAAAGGACCAAAAGAGCCACATATAGATGTAGCCACTTCACAATATTCGAATATATTGAGTAAATAATCCCTTATTGTGCAGCATTAAACTGCACCCTGTCACAATACTGCATCAATGTCATTATATGTTTCAAAATTTGTATAAAATATTATGTGGAACAACAAACAAAAATTACTTAATCTTTAAAAATTTCATTACAAAGTTGACTGTATAAAATGCTAAATCATAATCCATATATACAAAATGCTGTTGTTTAAGAAAATAATGAGACCCAGTTTTAGAATAAAATAATTTTATACAAAAGAGGGTATTGCATTCAAATCAATATTAAAAAAACATTTAAAAGAAATATTGAAACGTGTTAGTTCAGAACAGCCGTAAGCTTGGTGCTTTTACACGACCACGTGGTTCTGCAGGTACAACGGAGTCAGCTAAGGGAGAATGGCCTCTTGGCTGAGACAGTCACCGATGGGATGGGTACTTGGAAGACCAGTCTATCCTGCCGTGCACAGGCTGGGCGGCTGGAGGTCGTGGAATCAACCCGGGAGTGCTCCTAGGCTGAGTGTGAAAAAAAGGCCGCCCTGGGTGAGGTCTCATGGCCTTCAGGGAAGAATAGCCTGCAATGGAAGAGAAATGCTGAACTGACCCGTGGGGGTCCCAAGCCAAGTGCAGGCAAGCGCAGCGCAGGGACAAATGTCTGGGACACTCGGGAGGAACACTTGCCTCCTCTGGCAAGGAGAAATCCACAGGTAGACTTGTCTAGTCCAAGTCCTAGTGCCACTCCTGGTCACTCTCTTTCTCTCACCTACAGTGTCAGCAAATCCTCCTGGCCCTCCATCCATGTAGATCAGCATCTGGTGAATTGCTATCAACTGTTAACAACCCTGGCCCAAGCTACGGCTCCTGCTTCTAACACTGCTCCCATTTAGCCTTACCACAATGACGATCCGCTGGGGCACACCTGTGCAAATGGTGGTCCACTCAAAAGCCTAGCAGATCCCAAGACCAGCCAGTGACACTACACTGTAATGCCTGCCACAGGACTCCCTCTCCAGACTCACCTCTGACTTCCTCTAGTTAAACACCCCACCCCCAGTCACTTTCTTGTCCCCATGCACCCTGTATTTGGCCTCTTCCCTGCTCCCTGGATTTGCTAGGCTGACCTGCTCCAAAAAGCCCACGTACTCAAAGAGTCCCAGGCCATTCGCAGTGCTTGGGTGCTGGCCACTAACCCCTCCCCATCTTTATCTCTGCTTCTTGCCTGCTTTGGTTTTCTCCCTGTCATTTATGAACATGGGACTCCCGCATCATCTATAGAGGGCAAGCTTACCCTGGGCAAGGAGTGTGCCTGACTCATTCTGTCTACACTGTTCCTGCACAAGGCAGCTGCTTGGTAACAACTGGATTATTTTACAGGTGATTTGAAATGCAACTCACCAGGGGAGGGGTCTGCGAGAGGCGTCAGCTGTACCCTCTGCACAGCAGAACCGACTTCTTTCTTCAGGAAGGAAGGGATGTAACCTCCAGTCAGTCCGCTCGAACTCGTGGAGCCTGAGCCAACTGAGGTGTGCAAAGGAAAACTCATTACTACAAAGACTCACTTCATGACACCAAGAGTATGCAACGACAGTTTGTTTTTACTTATGGGGGACAAAGGGGATGAGGATAATTCTAAGAATGCAATCCACCAAACCACAGTCGGAGAGGCTGGCACGGGCACAGGAAGTGCCTTCCCACGGGCAGCATCTACACAGGCGGCTGAAACAAGGAAGGCATTTGATAGTTTCTGTGGTTTTCTTCCCCCCTAAGAATTGGGTTAGCCTGTTTTGAAGCTTTCTTTTTATACTCCATCCTATGGAATATCCTCTTACGTAAGTGTATGCAAAGTCTGAAGCACAGCTAAACATAATTCACTTAACCAATTCTCTTACTGATTGTACACATAGGTAACATCATTTACTTAGATGTTATAAGTATAAACTAAATATCCTATTGGTAATTTAAAAAACTAACCATTAATTTTTTTTTCTTTTTTCCAAGACAGGGTTTCTCTGTAGCTTTGGAAGCTGTTCTGTAATAAAAATATTTTTAAGCTCCGTGGTAGTGGTGCTTTAATTACAGCACTTGGGAGGCAGAGGCAGGCGGATCTCTCAGTTTGAGGCCTGCCTGATCTATAGAGTGAGTTCCAGAACAGCCAGGACTGTTAAACAGAGAAACCCTGTCTTGAAAAAGAAAAAAACAAGCAAACAATATACATACACATACATACACATACATACATACATACATATATATATATACATACATACATACATATATATTATTGTGTTTGTGTGATGTGTAGGAGTGTGAATGCTGTGGTTAGCACGTGGAGGTCAGCGGACACCTGTGGGATAAGTTTTTTCCTTCCACCTTTACATGAGTTCCAGGAATTGAACTCAAGTCTCCAGGCTTGCACAGTAAAAACAGTTAGTTGCTGAGCCATCTCATCGGCCCCCCAGTAAAAATGTCCTAAAAATTCATTGTTTGTGCCTATCTGCCAATTCTCTCTCCCTCATTCCTTTTCCCTTTCTTTCTTTTCTGAGGCAGAGTCTCACTACGGAGCCCAGGCTGCCCCCCAATGGGCAGTCTTCACACCTCAGCCCTCAACCCAGTGCTGGGATCATAGGTGTGTGTCATCGGCTCATTTAAATCATTTCCATTTGAAAGCGGGGTAAGGGCAGACTGCAAACTGCCCTCCTTTGTATTCTAGGAGGTTAATGAAATAACTTGAAATAACAAGTAACCAGTTAACATAGGCAGACGAATGAGGATTTCTAATACTGACCATCATGGCTTAAAGGCACTCAGGGATAATGGAGAATATTACTGACCACTAAACACATAAAAGTTCCACCTGTGAGAAAGGGTTAACGGTACAGTTGCTTTCTCTTGACAGTGAAAAAGGCATTCAATAACTGCTTAAGACAGAGTACGAAATGTCCTGGAATGCACGTACAAGGTTGGTCAGACAGAGTCACTGGGCAGTACTGGTTAATAAGAAAAAAATGAAAGGAGAATTTGAAAGTGTCCACTTTCCAAAGAAAGAAATAATAAACATGAGGAACAAACCTCATTCTTAAAGACATATAAGTTTAGACCGAGGGCACCATTTCACACCAGATCAAGACTCACTTTAGTCTTGGGTACCAAGTGTCACCAAGGATAAGGCACAACTCCTACACCAAGGTGGGGAGCAACTGGACAATATCTATAAAGCCCAAGATGAGCACACCTTTAACCTAAAATGCCGATTCCAGCAGAGGACCTGGTGCCCGTGTGCACAACACGGATACAGAAGTATCTACCTTTCCTCTTCTGATGGACAAGCTACAAACAGCCATGTGCTTGTTGAGAAGACAAGGAATAAATAGTGACCCAGTATAATTAAGGAGGCATGGCACCAGACAGTCATACACAGTACATTCTATAATCTAGGGTGGATACATATACTTGCTACACACATTATTCCTTAAAAGGAAGTGTTCATATCAACTTTAAAATATGCAAAACTCACTAAATTTCACACATAATTTTTTAATGCACAGGAAAAGTTAACACCCAATCAGGCCTGGGGGCAGGGTGCTATGGGGTGATATGGTGTGGGGTGGGGTGGTATGTGGGGGGACTCAGCTAGACTATGGGACCTCAAGTGTGTTCTTAGGTGGCATGATGGGTACCTGGGCACTGTACTCCTAAGTGAACCCTAATGGAGGAAGGCGGGGAGCAGTGAGGGTTAGGTGTGGATTAGGTGTTGTGGAAGACGGACTAGTTCCCAGCAAGGGTTGTGAAACAGCACGAGAAATTGTCTACTGGGAACCTGACTAATCATTTTGGAGGACTTTATTTTTTGAAACACATGCACAGGGGCTGATAATCTGTCCATCTTCCAATCAGAAGCAATTCTGATGCCCTGGGCAGGGCAGATTCACCAGTTGGAAAGTCCAGCTGGAGCAGAGAAGACCAAACCAACATTGACTTTAGCCCAGGTGTCCAAAGCACACCAGGGCATCAGGGGTCAGATTGGGTAAGTCTGTAAACTTATTTTTGTTTTTCCCCTGGGTCAGGAGGACTGCTCCACACCCCCTCTCCCCTGAGAAGAGAAGGCTGTGGGAGCTGAACCCAGGGCTACTGCTAAGGGAGCAAGTGAAAGGCAGGGAAGTCTAAGACGCCTGTGTCTCACACCAGGAAGGCCTCATTTCATAGTTCTCTCTGCCTCCTCCCCCAAGTGAAAGGCAGGGAAGTCTAAGACGCCTGTGTCTTAGACCAGAAAGGCCTCATTTCATAGTTCTCTCTGCCTCCTCCCCCAAGTGAAAGGCAGGGAAGTCTAAGACGCCTGTGTCTCAGACCAGAAAGGCCTCATTCCATAGTTCTCTCTCCCCCAACCCCGCAGCATTCAGAGAGTTTGCGTCTGGTCTCTCAGGAGGTAACCGTTACTTGCCTGGAGTTATTTTGCTCACTACTGATACTGTTCCTGAAGATTCTCCAGACAGACCAGAGCTGGACCACGGATTTGACGGAGGAAAGTCCTTGCCTGGATTGGGGAGCACACCGTTTCTTATATTTATTCCTAGTAGAGAAGGAAACCAGCTTGAAATGCAAGATAGACCAGACAGACAGAAGCAGTGGTACTTCTCATCAGGGACACAGTGACTAAGACAGTCACCCTAGTGCATTTCTTATTACTTATGTGTAACCTACGACATTGTGTTAGATGCCTTAATCAGACATAATAAAGATCATTTGAAATGTAAAATAAATCTTATACCAATTTTCAAAAATAAAACACAGACCATACAAAATTCCTAGGGTACAACATGCTCCTCCCCCAACTGATGATGTCATCTGACAGCTGCAGAGGGGAGAGGACATCTTTGAGGGCAGCACATTGTCTCACTGTGGGCTGTCCGAGAGGTTTTCTATGCCTCAGCTAACAGATGTGTCCACGTCTTGACTTTCTGATGCGTCCCTCAGAGAACTCCTATACTTTTTCGTTTGCCCTCTTCCCAGATGACTCCCTTCCTGTCACACTCGAATTCTTTCCGCTCCCCACCCCAGGCTCTGAAGCCTTTGGTTTCTTTTCGTGTCTGTTCTCTGAGGCTCCACCTCCTCACACGGCCTGGACCGTCCTTGACGTTAGCTGCTGCTGACTTCACTGTGCCAACAAGCCTCACGAATGCTGCTTCTTCACATGCAGGGCCACCCAGGTCCGAGCATGGAAGCCTGAAGCTGACCTTAACTCAAGCCTCTACCGTGCTCCATGTTCCTGCCAGTGCCAGGCTCTGCAGATACTCTTTAGAACTGAAGCTCACACTCGTTTATCAACCTCCTTCTACCACAGCTGTTTCCTTCGAGCCTGGGTCTCCACACTTGCCACCCTGGGAACTACCAGTCCAGACTTCTAGGACCGTGATGTCAAAAGCCTGATAGCCTGTCTGGAGTCATCATACTCGCAAGCATAAGTGAAGACTGAATGTATCTGGAGGCTTTCCTACCTACTGACTGTGCTCCCAGACTGGTTCCCTTCCTTTTACCCAGATGAGAGCTATCGCTTGCTGCCCCTAACTGTAGACTCATGTCCTCCAATTAAGTACTTTCAAGATCCCCCTTATCTCAAAAAATGAAATTCAGTATGGTGTGGTGACAGGCCTTTAATCCCAACACTCAGGAAGCAGAGGCAGGAGAATTTCTGTAAATTCAAGGCTAGCCTGGTTTACATTCTGAGTTCCAGGAAGGGTAAAGCTACAAAGTGAGGCCCTGTCCCCAAAACAGCAACAATAAAAAAACCCCACACCACGCCGGTCGTTGGTGGCGCACGCCTTTAATCCCAGCACTCAGGAGGCAGAGGCAGGTGGATCTCTGTGAGGTGGAGGCCAGCCTGGTTTACAGAGCCAGTTCCAGGACAGGCTCCAAAACAATACAGAAACCTTGTCTCGAAAAACAAACAAACCAAAACCACACCAACCCCCCAAACCAACAACAACAAAAAAATGAAATCCAGCTTTTTTCTCAGGGTCTTCAAAGATTCCTCATGCTACGTGATTCTTCCCTTCCTCTCTGCTCCGCCCCTCAGAGTTAGCCCCTCCCTTCCTCTCTGCTCCGCCCCTCGCAGGGTTAGCCCCTCCCTTCCTCTCTCTGCTCCGCCCCTCGCAGGGTTAGCCCCTCCTGCCTAGCCTGCGTGCCGGCTCTTTCTTCCCATGCCCTGCGTGCTCTTCCCCTGGTTGCTGCACACTTGGCTCTTTCTCATTTTTTGGTGCTGAGCCAGTAGCTCAGAGAAGTCTTTCCTGGCCACTGCATCGTCATGTGCCGTGACTACATGCCAGGGTCTCACCTTGAGCCCATGAGCTCCGCTCATCTTCAAATGCAGGGTAGTTCCATGCTGCCACCGTGAGGCTGCAACGTGAAGGAGCTACCTGGCGCCGTACAATTCTGGAAGGTGGGAGCAGGGGCCTTGCTTCATCATAGTACTCTCAGTGCTCAGCACATAGCGAGTGCTCGACATTCAGGCTGGCTGAGTTCATCACACTGTCATGATGATTGCATGACAGTGTGAGCTTGGGACGTGAAGACCGGAGAGGGCCTTGGGACCTTACCAGACTACAGCGTTGACATTTACCCTATGGTCCTGCTCAGAAGGTGTAAGTAAACTCCTACCCTGGCTTCCTGAGGGCACACAGAGAGCATAGGCTCCAGGTATGCTGTCTAGTTCTGGCCAAGCCACCCATCTCAGAAGCTCAGCTCAGGTTTCCTACATACTCAAGTCTCTCATCTCAGGATGCCTCTGTAAGATCAAATATTCTCGCCAGTGTGTGTCGAGCCCTCTAACCACAGAGGCAACACGGCATGCAGTGCGAGGTGTGTTCGGGGCGTATAGGAAATCTGGATTTCATTTCATGAACAAAGGCTAGATAGCTCTGCAGGGGATTCAGCTGGAGGAGTGACATGACGGTATCGATACCGTGTGTCAACATGGACGAACTCATCCTCTGAAAGAGAACCTACTAACACATGCCATCCCAGGAACAAAGATTGGTTATGGGTGATCAGAGGCCAGGCGCACGCGCCCTTTCTGTTACCAGGCAGGTAGCGCGAGTGCTTCAAGTAGTGCTGCTTCGCTGCAGATCGCTGGGTTGGCGTGTCTCTCTTTTGGGAGGAAGCCTGGGTCGAGACACTAGTTCCTGTACCCACCAGCTCTGATGGCTTCAGGTCCAAAACACTTTCAAACCTGAGTCAAGAGAAAGTGGCTGGAGTCAGGAGAGGGGAGTGGTGGCGGCAGGTCATCACAGAGACACTGGCGACCACAGGCCCGAGCCAGCTGCCCCCCCGGGACAAGCAGCACACTTGCCTGCAGAGGGCGTCGTCACTCTGCCTCTTCTTGTTTTTCACATCTATCCTGGTGTAAGAGGGACTGAAATCTAAGTCATCCAAGTCGGCCCAATCGTCTGAGCCCTTCGTCGACCTGGAAATAAGACCCCATCTTCTCCTGGCCTTTGGCTTGGCTTCACCATTTTTGCGTTCCAGGTCAGCTAGGATTTTCTGTGTATACAAACACAGGAGAAGGAAAGAAAAATCTACATTAACAGGGCTCATCTATCAAAGTCTGTGTTTGAGAGACAGAGAGACAGACAGGGGGGGGGAGAGGGAGGGAGGGAGGGAACGAACCCACAGCCTTGTACATAATAGGTAGGTGCTGAACTTGAAGGTGTTACCCTGAGCCGTAACCTCACTCCATCGTGTGATTTCTATTCTGAATTTCCTTTTTTACAGCAAGAAGGACCTGGAGTACCACACTAACCCACAGGCCTCATTGTCTGAAAAGGCATCTGTGCAAAGTGTAGACCCAAGCGGCCTGTAGCTAACTCATCCTGAACTGACCACAGCTTTTCATTTTTTTTTGTAAACAAAAGTTCACATAGTTACGTGAAAAGAGAATGTAAGAGAGGAAGATATCAGAAAGTATGCTAACTTATCCTCCTGCAGCTGTGACAGAGCAGAGCAATTCCAGGCTCAGTCTGTCCTGCTGAGGAAGCTGAGAGGACAGGAACCTGAGGCAAGCCTCCCGCTGAGTAGACAGCAGTGACTGAGTGCCGGCAAGCGTGCTCAGCTTGTGTTCTCCATTTATAAAGTCCTGTGCCCCGCCTGTGACATGGTCCTGCACACTCTGAGACTGGGGCTTCCCACATCAATTAACCAATCAAAGAAATGCGTGGGCTGGAGAGATGGCCCTGAGGTTATAAGTGCATCCCGTTCCTGCAGAGGACTGGAGTTCAGCTCTCAGCACCTCCATCAGACAGTTTGTAATCACGACTCTAATTCACCAGAGAATCCAACACTGCTGGTGCACACACACACACACACACACACGTTTTATGTAATAAAAATAAATCTTAAGAAAAAAAAAAAGAAAATTCCCTCCTAGGCATGCCTATAAGATAACCTAATTGAGACAATTCCTCACTGAGACTTAGTCCCCTGATGATTCTCCGTTGTGTCAGGCTGACATTCAAAACCAACCACCACAGGAAGTTATGATTTTCTTACATATTAGGAAGACAGCTAAATTCTAACTTGGGTTTTTGCTACAGTAGACAAGTGATTATTGCCAAATCTTGGTCACCCTGCTGTATTACATCAAACAAGGTAAACAGTGGGTTCTCAGTGGCCTGGGAATTACCTCGATAGAATTAGCACAATAGGGAATTTCCAAACAGTCCACATCCCAATCTTGAGAAGGGGCAAAGTGCCAAGAGATGGAAGCCCACAAGTCCTGGGGAGTAGGACTTGACAGCATTGCAAAGCAAAGGATAACCCCAGCCCCTTGGCAGGTTGTCATTCCACGGATCCAACACACACTGCTTACTCAAAAATCAACAGAAGAAAGATTTGTGCTCAGTTAATAGCTCAGTATTGACATCAATTCATAATGATGATGATGATGATGATTTGAAAAACAGTCTACAGACAGAAGAATGGCTCCAGCTCCTTAGGATTTTCAAAACGTCCTCAAAGGCATCAGGGCCTTCTGTTGTCGAGAATAAACTGGTCTGGGGGAGGGGACATAAATTAAGACCGTCTTCCTCACATGAAGAAACTGACTGCAGGGATGAACAAGAGTGTCCCCAGTGCTTACTGAGTCCTGTGGTGTATTAGTTAGGGTTTCTGTAGCTGTGAAAAAACACCATGGTCAAAGCAATTCACAGAGGGAAAGGTTTAGTTCCTTATAATTCCTGCCCATCTCTGAGGGAAGTCAGGGCAGGAGCTCAAGGACAGGCACCTGGAGGCAGGAGCTGAAGCAGAAGCCGTGGCAGCTGTCTTGCTTTATCTTGTTTTCTTACCCCAGGATCACCTGCCCAGGGGTGGGACCACCTAAGTGAGCTGGAGTGTTCTACACCAACTCCTAATTAAGAAAATACACCACAGGCTTGCCCATAGGACAATCTAATGGGGACATTTTCTCGATTGAGGTTCCTTCTACTCAACCCTAGCTTGTGTCAAGTTGACATAAAACATGCTACCACTATACATATTTTGATGATATGATGTACTAGGTACTATTCTAAATTCTTCTCAAGTATTAACTAATCCAGTCCTCAAAACAATTATGTTACGTAGACATTACAATTGTTTCTATGTAACAGGAGAGATCATATGGAGCAGAGAAGGCAGGTAACTTGCGTATGTATGGTGACCACGCTGTTGAAGAGCAGAGCTCTGGTTACAGAGCCCAGCTTGCCAGCGCCGCTCCACTTGCTAGCAGCAGTGTGTGGTGGTTTGAAGTAGAATGTCATTGGCTCAAATCTTAGAGTACTCCGTCTCCATTTGGTAGTGCTGTTTGGGTAAGGTTAGGAGGTATGTCCTGGCTGGAGGGAGTACGTCACTGGGACGGGCTTTTCGGTTTCAAAGTCATGAATCATTCCCAGTGTGCTCCCTCTGCTTGGAGTCTGCAGCTCACATGTGAGCCCTTAGCTTCCTGCTCCTACTGCCACGCCTTTGTTCTGCCCTCAGGGGTCCAGCCGTCTGGAACCATAAGCCCAGATAAACTCCTTCTTCTCTAAGTTGCCCTAGTCATGGTGTTTTACCAGAGCAGCAGCAAAAGAACTAATACAGATGGTATTGTTAACGGAACAGGCAGAAACTGAATTCAGACCTTACATCAAGGGCCTTCTCACAATGCCATGGCACTGTGGAAACAAATGTGTAAGACCTTATGCACTGAAAAGGAAAGTATTTCACACAATATTTGTAGTCAGAAGAGAATGAACGAGACAAAGAAACTACAGTTTCCTTATAGGCACTCGACACTTACTGGCTGAAGATTCTTATTGTGAAGGGATGGGAAGAGCGTTGGGCTTGGCTTGCCCTCCTGAAGATGGCTGAGCTGATCTGCCCTGGAGGCTTCACCTTTGTAGGGGTACACAAAATGCTGAGGAGGCTGACTGGTTTGGTTTGGTCGTGAAGAAAGCAGTGTATGTGCCTTGGTTGGGGGCTGGGCAGGAGGGGCTGGCTTGGTGTAAGCAGGTGGTCCAGTCTTGGCTTGGACATCTTTTTGTGGTTTTCCCGAATCCTGTGTGATGCTGCCCAGTGGGTGTCCAATCTGGAAGTAAGGATATCGAAGTGCCTGGAATGATAAATGCGGCATTAGAAGGAAAGTTCAGAAGGGGCAGTAAACACCATCATGATTAGTGGACTAAAGTTCATGTGACCAGGTCACTATAGGCTCTTAGCCCAAACATGCTATAAACCAATACACTGCATTGGTAGCCCCTTGCTATTTTTCCATACCCCAGTTAATATGAAATTTACATATTACTTGCAATATTTAAAATTATTTGGATGAACCAGATTGTATGAATCTGGGAATGGCAGGACATGCCTTATAATCCTAGCACTCAGGAAAGTGGAGGCAGGAGGATCAGAAGTTAAAGGCTACACTTGGTTAAACAGAAAGTTCAGGCTGGACTGTATAAGATCCTGTTTCAAAACCAACCAACCAAGCAACAACCACAAAGCAGGCAGCAGGAATCTCCACCATTATTCAGGCTGCACCAAGAGTACAACATACAATACATTCAAACCTTCCCGGAAGACAAGGGTTAGCCCCCAGTTGCTATGGATAACTGAGTTCCTGGTTAACCAAAGCATAAACCTTAACATGCAGAAACTTACAATTCTTTATGAAATTCTATATATATTCTCCTGATTTTGTTAATGGAAGTCACTGAAAATAACATTATTTTCTTAATGGGTCTGGAACATAAGTTATAAACATCTATAACTATTGTATGTAAGTGCAGACTCAGAGTCAATTAGAAAGAATTCTCTGTGGTTCCTGGTACTTTTGATATGATTTGGGAGGCATTTTTAGCTTTTCTGATACCATTCCTCCCTTGGTTTTGGTTATACAAGTTTGTTGTGATTTGTTTAACTTAATATTTTATAAGTATCCTATAAAAAAAATGGCTCATCAGAAATTTTCCTTGCTGCCCTAAAACTCTTTGTGAGTTTTACCATCAGAAGTGCATGAACTTTCTAAGCATATCTTACCAGCCGGAAGCTGCTGGCACCAGGCTGTGGCTGCCTCTTCAGGACTTTGAGAAAGAAGTTTTCTGCCCCCCTTAACTATCCCCAGCTGTCAACTCTCCAGCTACCACAAATTATACTTCCACCCTGGCATTTTCTTCTCATAGCCCTGCCACTTTTGTGATAAAAGATCACAGGTCATCTTCTCTGGTTAGAACTGGTTATTTGTTCGGTGCTCTGAGGAGTGTAATTAATTGTTCATGAGCCAAACTGACAAAGGATCAAACACAACTAACACAAAACCAGGCTTGCAGGAGGCAGGTGAGTGACAAGAGCTCCTTGGTGACTTGGGGTGCACTTCATAATTTATCAATGTAGCCTAGGGGAAAGTGGGTGGGGAGATATTTGGAGGCCCTGCCCCCTGGATTATAGACAGTTGCACTGTCCATACCTACTGCTGAATAAGTGATTAGGGAAAACTCATTTACACTCTCTAAGATTCAGTTTTCTTACCTACAGAAGTGAAAACAAAAATATCTACCTCGTGCAGTCTTCATTAGATTGGAAACACATAAAACATACCAAGAACATGAAAATACCAGCTGCAGTTACTGTATATACAGTGCCTGGCTGTATCTCTCCCATCTGTCTCTGCTACCTTACACGAGGGAGCTGGTTTTGTAAGTTACCTTTCAACACTCAGTGATGGTTCATCACCAAACTACTGAGCAATCTTAACTCACAGAGAGCACATTAAAGCACCTCTGAAAACAGACACACACTTCTTTTCTTTTCTGAACTATTCTTTATTCCTGGACAATTTTATGTTTAATTTCTTTTTTCGTAGTGTGTGTGTGTGTGTGTGTGTGTGTGTGTGTGTGTGTGTGTGTGTTTAGACAGAGTTTCTCTGTGTAGCCCTGGCTGTTCTGGAACTCACTCTGTAGACCAGGTTGGCCTTAGAGATCCGCCTGCCTCTGCCTCCTGAGTGTTGAAGTTAAAGGTGTGTGCTACCATGCCCTATTGGCAATTTTATGTTTATTTTCACTTGCAGATATATATAATATATATCACAGATTGTGATATATCATATCATGTATCAGTGTTAATGTTCAAAGCAAATAACACTGCTTAATCTTAACTATTTTAATTATGCCCAACAAGTTTCTGATTACCTTAAATCCCTCCAGTTCATAGGAGTCAATTCTATTTCCAGTCATGTTATCAAATGAAAACTTGCCATGCAATTTATTGAAATACTCGGTATAGATTTCCTAAGAAATTCTTTGGACAGAAAAACCAAGACGAACCTGACTAGCTGTTGGCCGTTTCTTGGGATCCCACTGAAGCATGTCTCTCAGGAGTTGAATGGCTTCACTGCTAGCATTTGGAATGAGAGTCTTTAAGTTATTGGGTATGCACTGGGGCCAGAGGAAGTTCATAGCACTCGACAGCTGGTAGCCTTCAGGCCAGTCGGTCTGCAGGAAAAGACAGGAAACGCTGCTCAGACTCTTTGGGTATATGGAGCCAGGGGCTGGGGTGAGGCGTCCACCAGAACATAGAACCTTTACAGAAGACTATCCATCTCTGGAGGACGGGAACTGAAGCCCATAGCATTTCCCTGCCCTGACACACTGGTTTTGGAAACTGCTAGCATAGTACTTTTGAGGGGGAAGACAAAATAAAATGAAGTAAAGCAAAATACTTAGCCCTGGCCCAATGGATCCGTGAAGTACCGCGTGTTACTGTCTTCACTGCTAATTCTAAGTATGAAGTAAAGCAAAATACTTAGCCCTGGCCCAATGGATCCGTGAAGTACCGCGTGTTACTGTCTTCACTGCTAATTCTAAGTATGAAGTAAAGCAAAATACTTAACCCTGGCCCAATGGATCCGTGAAGTACCACGTGTTACTGTCTTCACTGCTAATTCTAAGTATGAAGTAAAGCAAAATACTTAACCCTGGCCCAATGGATCCGTGAAGTACCGCGTGTTACTGTCTTCACTGCTAATTCTAAGTATGAAGTAAAGCAAAATACTTAACCCTGGCCCAATGGATCCGTGAAGTACCACGTGTTACTGTCTTCACTGCTAATTCTAAGTATGAAGTAAAGCAAAATACTTAGCCCTGGCCCAATGGATCCGTGAAGTACCGCGTGTTACTGTCTTCACTGCTAATTCTAAGTATTTACACTGATGGGACTAGCAGAGACACAGCTGTCCTCAGCCACCACGCTCCACATCTGCAGGCATCACATCTGTGGGGCCCTGGAGGCTGGGGTGAACCATGGGCAATCTGAACAGTGAGGCTTGAGGCTCTCTCCAGTTCTAACATGACTGTTGGGTAAGGCATACCCTGGTAGAGTTTTGACCTTTCTCTGGAGTCACTCAGACAGTTTCTGGATGAATGCTTAGTGTTATTGAGTATCCAGAAATAATTCAATATAAATCCTTCTCTTAAAAATGTCACTGTCCTTAAAAGACAAAAATAGGACATTTATTTTAAAACATAATAATAAAAAAATGACAAAGGTCACCAGAGGGGTAGATATAGATACAAAGAGGAAGGAGGCCAGCAGGGGACTTTGAAAACCTTATCATTAGCAGGGTAGCAGTAATGACCCTTTCAAACAATTAAAAATCAAAACCAAAACCTTTGTCTAGCATGTTTAAGGCCCTAGGTTTGATACTCAGTGCCACACACAGATACACACACACAAAGAAAAAAGGGGGAAGAGAGAGAGAAAATAAAGATAGGGCTCATAACAGCTGTAGTACTGGGAGCTGGGAAAACAAACACAAGACAAATCTATTAATAGCACAGAACATAGACACAGTGGAGACCGGAGAAACAGTGGGAGGAGTGTGTCACTGAGTCCTGTGGAGGAAGAAGGGATCCTGATGGTCACTAAAGGGACATTCACTCAGGTAACACACAGAAATGGGGCTATTCCAGGGTCCAGAGCCGGGCTGCGCACTGGAATGAAGTGAATGGCCGAGGGTGGGTGATGAATGGATACTTTCAAGCAAAGACCAGATTGTAATCAGAGCTCTTTCTTAGGAAGCAGAATCTAGTCACAGACTGAAAGACAAGCTGCAGGGAAAAGCCTGGAAAGCAGGGGGGAGAAGCAGCTCGGCAGCTGAGCAGGTTGGTTGCACACCTTTAGTCCCAGCGCTTCAAAAGGAGGCAGAGGCAGGTGGATCTCTGTGGATTCCAGGCTAGCTTGGGCTACATGGTGAGGCCCAGTCTCAAAACCCAAACCCAAACCACACCAAGCAGAAAAACTGAAGAGCTATAATGACCCTCAGCCCCAAGATGGACAGAAACCGTCCACGAAGAAAGGGAGCATGGTAAATGGTAAGCTCCAGGTGAGTTCAGTCACAGGTGGTGGAGTGAGAAAAGCCCCAAGCAGTGGTTAAGAACTGAACGGTTGTAAAGGAGAGAAGTGGGTACAGCTTGCCTGGGGAAGGCTTAGTAGACGAAACTGTGCCCATAGGATGGAGAAATTCTGTAAAGGGTGAGATGATATCAAGAGATCCATGACAAACACCATAGCTGTGAGCAGGGCGAAGGGAGAGCTGGCCTCGCTACAGGACCTGGGCAGGAGCATGGCCAAGGTCAAGAGACAGACTCCAGAACAGTGTCAGTGTTGTAGCTGCACCGCACTGGGGGGAGGCAGAACAGGAAGCTGCTGGCTTTGGCTCCCAAGCTTTTGGTCTATGCCATTACCTTCTTTGGTGTTCCCAATACTTGGCAGATCTTGAAAATCGTGTCGATTTCACTGGCCCCAGGGAAAAGAGGCCGGAGGGTGTACACCTCTGCCATGATGCAGCCCACTGCCCAGACATCAATGGGGGAGCTGTAGTTGGTAGACCTCAGGAGGACTTCTGGAGCCCTGTACCTGAAAAGACAAAGTTAACAGCTAGCTACTGCTCCCAGTGGTCAGAAGGTAACTTCAGCAACAAGTAACTCTTAGTTAAAGTATATATTTTTCCTAAATGCAAAGCTTGGCAACCAACTGTCATGGTCAATAATAAACAACAGTCTTAAGGCTGCCGAGATCGCTCAGTGGATAAGTGAACTTGTGTGCAAGTATGAGGACCTTAGTTCAAATCTCCAGCACCCAAGTAAAGAGTCAGGCATGGCTTCATGTGCCTGTAACTCCAGCATTCGGGAGCAGAGACGGGGGATTCCATGAGCTTACTGGCTACCCAATCTAGCTAAAAATGTGAGCTTCTCAGCTCAGTGAGAGACCCCGTCTCCAGGGAATAAGGCTGACAGTGATAGAGGAGGACACTCAATGTCCTCTTCCAGCCTCCCCACACAATCACGTGCATGTACTACATACACACATATATCACACACTCACATGCATGTCCAATATACACACATATACCACATACTCATGTGCATGTACAATATACACACATGTACAACACACTCACGTGCATGTACACACGAACCACACACTTATACTCCATACACACATGAAAGAGAGAGGGAGGAAGGAAGGATGCAAGAAAAGAAAAGAAGTCGGAATCTACTCCAAGCCTTCTTAAACTGTTTCCATTTGTGACTCCATTTCATTTGAGAAATTTTTATACCTCCTCAGGTATATAGGTATACAAAAAGGTATAAAAATTTAAGAAATTACATTTATTTTAATCAATTCTTTAGTATATATATAATTTTACCATTTATTAAAGATGAAACTGAAAATTCATCTAATGATTTTTTTCCCCAAGACAGGATTTCTCTGTGTAGCCCTGGATGTCCTGGAACTTGCTATATAGACCAAGATGGTCTTGAACTCAGAGGTCTGCCTGTCTCAGCCTCCCGAGTGCTGGGACTAATGGCATACACCATCACATCTGGGGAAGACAGTGTCATGTAGCCCATGCTGCCTCAATCTCACTATGTGGCCAAGGGTGACCTTGCACTTCTGATCCTCCTGGCCCCATCTCCCAGTGTCAGGATTACAGGCTTGTGCCACCACACCTGGTTTAATGAGGTGCTGGGGGTCGAGCCCAGGACTTGATGCATGGTAGGTGGGTACTCTACTCATGAAGCCATATTCTCAGCCCCATCTAATGCTTTTCTTTTTCTTTTTCTTTTTCTTTCTTTTTTTTTTTTTTTTTTTTTTTGGTTTTTCGAGACAGGGTTTCTCTGTATTGTTTTGGAGGCTGTCCTGGAACTCGCTTTGTAGACCAGGCTGGCCTCGACCTCACAGATATCCGCCTGCCTCTGCCTCCCGAGTGCTGGGATTAAAGGCGTGAGCCACCAACACCCGGCTTAATGATTTTCTTTAAATGAGAGATTCAACAAGGAAATCAAACATTCTAATCCAATCCAAAGAGATCCAAATGTGATACTAATTTGCTGAGGAATGGTAGGAAAATATTAAAAGTCTTTGTTTTCTACAATTAAACCATTATGTTCTTCTACAAGGGCAAAAAGTTCATCCATACCACTGCAGTTTTAACATACGATAGTCTTGAATCTGAGCTGCAGTGTTTTGGGCAGGTTCACTGGCACTGTGTGGTGGTGGAACAGCACATGCTTTGAAGAATATGCATGCTACGTGTTCAGACCCAAAGCTACAGTGAAGTCCTGCACGTAACATGGGATCACAGTCAGAAATATCTCTGGTTCATTAAACTGTTTATTCTGAATTAGGTTTTAATTGTACATTCGGAAGCCTTTCACTATTGCCCAATTCTTCACAACCCCACATTCAGTTACTTGGTCACATGTGGGACTGCAGCCCACAGTTTTAAAAGCTAGACTGTATTCCCCGAGTGATCTCCTCCTCCTCCTCCCCCTCTTCCTCCTCCTCCTCTTCCTCTAAAGTCTTTAGAGAATTCTATGTGGGGGTTTGTCCACAAGAGGTCAGAGGCACTGGATCCCTCTGGAGCTGGAATTACAAACGGTTGGTTTTAAGTAACCCGATGAGGGTGGGGAACTTGGGTCCTCTTCGAGAACAGGACAAACTCTTAGTGCTCATCTCTCTTGTACACAGGAACCTCCTGTGTAGCATCTTCAGAAATACATACAGGAACTGGGTAGGGCAAAGAAAGAGCAGGGAAGAGCAACTATCCCCGAAAAGCTTCCATACAAAAATTATTTACATAAGGGCTGGAGAATTGGCTCAGCCGTTAAGGGCACACGTTGCTTTTACAGAGGAACCAGGTTCAATTCCCAGCACCCACATGACAGTTCACAACCATCTGTAACTCCAATTCTAGAGCATCCAACCTCCACAGGCATCAGTCATGCGCGCGCGCGCACACACACACACACACACACACACACCATGGTGCACACACACACATATGCAGGCAAAACACTCACACGCATAAAATAATAAATCTAAAAACTTTAAAATTTATTTAGACTGTGGACAGCATGATGGCTTTCCTTTTAAAATTGTTTCTAGCAATTTTATATAAATATATAAATCTTCATTCAGTAACAAAATACCTGCATTGTTTGAACTATTTCTTCCTTTTAGTGAGAGCTTAATATTTATGATTAATACTGTCCTCAGCATAATGTTTTATTGTTTCTGTTGTGATTTTTTTTTTGAGACAGGGTTTCACTATGTATGTACCCAGGTCAGCCTGGAACTCACTCTGTAGACCAGGCTAGCAATGAATTCACAAAGATCCACCTGCCTCCAGAATGTTGGGATTAAGAATTGTGTCACTTCCCTTGGCCTTATATATAAATTGTTATGTTTTGAAAGAAGCACAACTAAATTTTGAGAGAAACAGCACTTACCATCTAGTAGACACATAATCTGTGTATGGAGGTCTTGATCGGATTTCTCGGGCCAATCCAAAGTCTGCAATTTTTACAAGTTCTGGACCCATGCAGAGGAGGTTCTCAGGCTTTAAGTCGCGATGGAAGAAGCCTGCAGAGACAGGGAAGGAATCAAAGGCATGTCCTTTCTGTACCACTCTCTGCAGCTCTGACACTCTGTTGATAACACCTGTAACAAACCACCAGCCCCAGATTCTCCTCAGACAAAATCAACCCAAGTTGTTCTTTGTCCACCTTACTTACAAACAAGTCCTTTTAAATGCTAAAACTTGTGAGTGAAGATAACTGCAAACCTAAAGATCTCAAAGGGGAAAATTCATTCTTATCAAGTCAGCAGAAATACGTTGAGAATAAAACCATTTAAAAAGACAATAGTTTTTATTCACGTTAAATATACACTGTAACAGTAACAACTATATATACATACACACACACACACACACACACACACACACACACACACACACATATATATATATATATGTTTCCCAAGAAACAAAGGATTAGCTAGGTAGGAGTCAGAGGCAGGTGGATCTCTATGGGTTCGAAGCTAGCCTGTTACACAGAGAAATCGTGGTCTTGAAAAACCACAAACAACAGCAAAACCCCCAAAAGAACAGAGATAGAGAGACAGAGACAAGGAGAGGGAAAATATTGGCGGGTGTGACATGTGTTGTGTATTTACTAATTAAGAGTATTTACTACTTTGTCCAATGTGTAGCTCACATCATGAGAAGCCTTAGCTATACTGGTGCTGTGGAGATGCAGCACAGAGATATTTAATATGAGAGCCTACCAGGCACACACAAACATCCAGTGACTAGAAATATACATGACTCTGTAAACTCAAAGCACCTCCTCCCTGAGGTACCACCCACAGACATCACTGGGACGCTCAGACAGAAAAGCAACTTAGTTGATGTCACTGACAGTGTTATTAGTTATGCGTTATCATCTCTAACGTTACTCTGTACCATCCTTGAAAGCTGTGTCCTTAATAGGATCCTGACTGAATGTCACTTTCATGCCTGAAGCAGCTTGTCCAAAACTACCTAAAAACCAATCCCTCCTCAAACTTTTAATAATATCTCCATTCTGTTGAATCCATTCTTTTGATAGTGATGGAATGGTCCTGCATTTCCTTTAGAATATCTCCTGATTTTTCCTCCTTTTCCTCTGCATTCCGAGGTGCTCTTCCTGCTGTGGCTGCACCATCACTTTCACAGTCTCCTTCCTCCAATTTCTTTGAACTCTACACATTCTAGTAGTTTAAACACTGCCCCCCAATACATATACGCACACATGCACGCAAGCGAGCGCACAGACCCTTGCCTTAGCCTCTTTAAATAGTTTAATAACTCTGATCTATTTTATTCTACCTAAAGAGATAAATGTATCTTCTAACTGTGGAGAAAACTTTGTGGTAAAGGACTTGAGTAACATGCATGATGCTCTAGGTTCAGTCACCCACATTGCAAAATGTATTTCCCAATACTGATCACCAGTTATACAGAGTGTGTTTCACTCAGGTGAAATTCTTTACTCCCTTTAATTTTACTGTATTTACCTCCAAAATAAAGTACCCTTGTTCCTTTTTATCTGTATCAGTCCCAATATCAACCATTTCCCAAGGTTTATTGAGTTGCCTTTGTCTAAGAAACCATCTCATAGTCGGGTGGTCATGGCACATGCCTTTAATCCTAGCATTCAGGAGGCAGAGGTGGGTGGATCTCTGAGTTTAAGGCTGGCCTGGTTTACAGAGTGAGTTCTAGGATAGCCAGGGCTATATGGAGAAACCCTGTATTAAAAAAACAAAAACAAAACAAACAAACAAGCATTTCACATGATGCAATTTTTGCATTCTTCCACTCTGCCAAGAAATATTCAGAGGCCATGGGTTGAGCTCTGTGGATTCCGAGCCATGGTTCCTGGTGTTTGCCTTCACAAGTTGAACAGGCCTTTCCCCTAATTATATGCAGAGTTCTATTACTTACAGATATGGTCAGCATTCTCACTAAGTAGATGAAGGCCCTTTAACAGTCAAGGTCATTTGTAGTTCTGAATGCCTTCCATGCAAGAAAAAGCATGGCGATCTCCCAGTATATGACTGTTGACAGAAATGAGGGAACTTACATAGGCCTGTCAGAAGAATGAAGGAACTTCACGGTGATGAATCTACATGGACCAAATATGCAGGATTGAGAGAGTGGATCAGAGCTGTGGGGAGGGTGGAGGGGGAAGGTCCTAAAAGACAGTAACTGAGAACTGAGTGACCAGTGCAATGGCTCAGAAGCAGGGTGGGGACAATGAGGGCTCACTGTTGGACGTCCATCACAGAAGGCACTAAAGCAATTAGCCAAGGTTATTTTCCAAGCTTGCCTCTGCTCTAGCAGAAAGTGACTGTGATGTGCTTACATGTCAAAATGCACCATATTCAATGTGTGATGGAAAGTGGCAATGGTGTTTATTACCCCGGGGACAACTAGGTCGAGTAACAAATGGATAGTTGTATAGCATAATGATGGAACTGCAGACCAAGTGGTTGGCTTAGCTGGACCAAGTGAACACAATTAGACACCAGAACATCATGTCTACATGAAGATGAAGGCATAAAGTTGATCACAGACATTCAAGGGGACAGGGGCAAGAGTAAGAAGTACTTCCTTCACAACGCAGGGCCACCTGCTTTGTATGTCCCAAGGAATTGAGATCAGAGTCAGATCTGGGTTAGACAAGAGACAGGCACACAAGTTGTCTATTTTACAGCACATGTATATTTGTAGATATTAGTTCATGCATGTGTATGTGTACACTGTGAAAATACATTGAGATTCACTTATATTTCAGTGCTTCATCTTTATTCTGCTGCTGTCCCGACAAAGGTCTAATGGCCTTCCATAGACCAATTTCAAGAATCCTCACTAGCTTTGTAGTAAACCAAACAAAAATAATTATAAGAACTAAACTTGAGGTTCTTAGCTTAAGAAACTCGGAGTGATTCAGTATTAGTCAAGAATGGCCTTTCCAATAAAAGAAAAACAAACCTGACTGACATAGACAATCCAGATGGTTTATTATTACCCCAATAAAATTGATTATCTAACCACCAGATGAGTGATGCCTGCTCGAAATCTTGGTATAATTGAGTCACTGTGTTCAGGACCTTTATTCTTGTGAATACCTGCCAGTTCTCAGAGGATCTGACTGGATGTACCCATCTTGGAGACGAATTAAGAATTATGCAATTATTAGAATCATCTTCTGTCAACACACCTAGGATGGTTTCCAGGACCCTTGAAAACTGTGAGGTGATGGTTTCTCTACGTAAAAACTCAAGTGCTCTGAAAACTCTCCCATGAAAGATGAAATGGCAGGCATCATTTTCTTAGTGAGTAGATGGGAAAACCTGGTCATAGGCAGGGGGGCCAAAAAATTGCTCACAATCCCACCAAAAAGTGTGTCACAGCCTAACAGTACCAAGTACTACTCTTTCCCTCTTGGTGACTCTCTCCACCTAAACCTTGATTTGTGGTTTTGATCCTCTCAAACCCAGATCAACACCGATTCTCCTAGCAAACTTTCCCTTCCTCTTCTAATTGGGGTAATTATTATTTATAAACTCATGTGGCATTTCTTTTAAAGTGACTCATCTGTCCTCAAACCTCCTCCACCCACAGCAACTCCCTCTGGCGCCATCTCTAACACCCACAGCAGCTCTCATCTTCTCCAGTAGCACAGTCCAGACCTTTTCTATGTCCACTGTGAACCACGCTCTTCTAACACCAAGCACCCTCCCCGAAACCGATAGGCTTTAACCTTTCCCTCACGGCTTATACTCGTCTTAATTCTAGTTCCAAGAGAACACACACATTTATCAAAGGGGAATGAAGATTCAGGTTCCTCACTTATCCCTTTAAGTAGGTTCTTTTTTCAGACTTCATCTGTTTTAGTGAAGCATTACTATTTCCATTTAAAGAGACAATGCAGCTTAGGATGTGAGTGTGTAGACCAGCAAGAACGCCCAGTCTTTTAACCTTCCAAGTTTCTTCATTTGTGAAACAGAGACTAGCATACCTCACAGGCTTATTTTGCAGGAAGAAACACACTGAACCCATAAAGCTTTTAGAGGGCAGTGCTAACACACGATCACCTTGCAAGAGCAGGTCATTATGAGGAAGGCTACTAGAAAATTCCCTCTGGTAACCTCCCCCAAACTGTCAACGTTGCCTTGTGTATATGATGTCATTTTTTTTTTTCAGGTAAGAATTAAAGCTTGTTAGGCTAAGTGGCCTCTGTGAGGAGGTAGCACTACAGCTCTGCTCTGATTCCTGCCTGGGTGTGTGCTCTGCTGACATGTGCTGTGTGGTCTGTAACAACAAGCTCCCTCCTTCCTTCTCGCTCCTGACTTCACAATGGGAATCCTCTAGCTGTGCCATTTAGACATCATGCAACAGCAGAATTCTTCCACAGTAAGGACTTTCCTGTTCAAAGTGCCTTCCAGAATACACACACACACACACACACACACACACACACACACACACACACACACACACACACACACAAAAACCCCTCATTTAAGTTCAGGATACCACCTGCCTGCTCAATAACAGAAGGATTTCCCTTTTCATTCTGATAGAAGATTTTTATGAATAATTTCAAGGAAGAAAGGAAAACCAAGGAGGCCTCAAGGGAGGCTTTCCCTGTCCATATTCTGATTAAGTATGAGGAAATGATTAAAGAGTATTTAAATGTTATGAATTTACGTAGCACATCTTCCTGCAGTAAAAGTAATTTCAGATAATTCTCACCCTTTCCCCTCCTCCAGCCCCAATTTCCTCCCTTCCTTGAATCTGAGCCTATGGTGTTAATATCAAGAAAAAAAGTGGGCCACAGGAGCATCAGTACACAGACAGGAGAAGGGCCATGTCAAGGTCACACACTTGAGACAGCAGTGAGGCTCAGAGGCACAGCATCGCCTCCAAACCACCAAATGCGTTTCCACCTCCTGGTGGGAGGGGTGCTCTGGACAGCTACAAGGGTAGGTCAGGAGGAAACATACAATGCGTGTTATATCCCTGCAAGGGACGTGTGCTTCGGCACTGTTCAGCCATGTGTTTATGCCCCATGGGGGTATGATACTCAGTGACATGAAATATGGCCATAGCAACTACACGCTGTGCCGCTGCTCTCTCTCAGAGGAGCATAGGCCCCAGGGGCAGGCTGCACCTTCTCACTGTGAGAACGAGCTACGGGAAGGGCTGAGATCTCCACAGCTTCATCTTCCTTCGCACTGTCTGCACACACCCAGTGTCTAAGGCTGGAAAGTGATAGCAGTCAGAGCTCCAAGGGGAATTAAGGAGCGCTAAATTGACAGCTGAAGATACTTGTGTGTGCACATGGCTTGCCTATGCATGTGCTTATGTGGGAGGGAGAGAAGGGGCTGATACACAATAGGCATGTGGGCACGTGAGCATACAGAGACAGGTACATGTGTAGAAGCATGCATAGACATGCACAGGCAGCCTGTGACTATGAGTCTATAGATACTTCATTAAGTAGAGTCTCAGAAGAAAGGATGGGTGTTCTTCCTCCAATAAATATCTGAGTCTCATTAAAAGGACTAAAAAGGAAGCCTCTAATTCAGGTTCCAGGCTGAAGGAAGCAGCCCGAATGACCCAAACTCTGACTGTTCCCTATTTGAAGAATAAGTTGGCAGAAAATTCCTTTGCTTCCCCACTTTCCCCCTTTTTATGGCCATTTTTATGGGCTCCGACAAGCTCTTACATGCCTTCTCCTTTTTGTCGCTAAGATACAAGTCTGGTTCTTACACACTACTTGCCATGAAGTCTTGTGAATAAAGGCTAAAGAGACAGTCCTCTGAAGTCAGTGGGATCAGCGATCGCCTGTACTTAGTGTCTCACCATGCTGGATTAAGAAATCAGCTCAGCTGTGTGTATTACTCATGGATTATGAAGCTTGTGCTGGGGGACGACAAGGGTTTGCAAAGACAGCCGATGTCTGTGCATTTCATCTTCTCTGTAGCTGTGAAGAGCTACTTAGAGGCAAAGACCAAGCTGGTGCTGACCCTAGATAAAATGTGCCGCAAGATTTTTCTACACCCTGGCAATTTACGCCAAATCTAGTAATTGCCTCAAGGTTTCAACCAGTGTCTTACTGAGGAAGGAATCTATTTGTTAGTACACTGCTTACAGTGGCAACATCCATAGCCTTACAGTGCATGGGTTTCTGCCTGTATGAAATCAGCCATGGTCCACATGCTAGGACGACCTCAAATGACCTCAGAGCACTTCTGTCTTCATCCACAGATGTCCATGTGTTGGCTACATATTCATGGCAAAGTTATCAATCCAACCTCATCTGATCTGCAGTGGTTAGGACCAGCAATGTTCCAGAGAGCTGTTGGAGATAACTGCCTATATTCATTGCTGTTTAACTTTTCACAAGCTCATTTAAGAGGAAAACCACCAATGGAGAGTTTCCTGAAGGGCATACAGCTATGTTTCCCTTTGGACATGCTAAATCTCTCTGTGGACTACCCACACCATCCCTGAAGTGAGTCACACTGGGGCAGGGAATCGCTTTCTCTGATCAGGTGATATAACTGGCCTACAGTAAGAACACTGAACAAGACTGGCCTGTGCAGCCTGCCACTGTGTTTGCTATAAAATCATGTGACATACTGTCCCCTCCAAAGTGCCCATGAGAAAGTGTCTTTCTGGCCAAGGTATCAAGAATAATTCTGGGCCCAGTAAGATGCTCAGCAGGTGAAAATGCTTGTGTCCAAGCTTGATGACATCAGTTCAAAACCCATTGCAAGATTCCCGCACCCATGCTGTGACATGTGAATGCGTGTGTACACACATACACAAACACACATGTATGGATGCACACATTACCTAAGTAACTAAATGTAAAATGAAAGTCTTAATTTAAAAAATAATAGTTTTGCTTTTGGTAACAAGTCCATTTTTAAATCAAGGAAACTACACATGATCTAACTGATCATGTTTCATATTTTGCTTTGTATAACAAGCTCAGAAACAAATCTGTTGTCTGCTTCTTCTGATGAAATAAAATTAGCTGGTATGCTGGACCTATCCTCCAAACATCACAGGCTATTACAAATGCTATTAGTCACCTGCCCCCCACACGGCCAACTGCAGTATAAGACTCTATTGCTGAAGACACCATTTACTAACGCCATCAAACATGGAGAAATCAAGTTAGTGCCCAACTAGAAGCTTCAACCCTACAAACTCTGCAACCTACAGCAGTGATCTGCCTTCAAAATATACTGATGCAGTAACAGCACAAAGGTGATTGGAGGAACCAACCACTGTTTAAAAATTAGGCTTAAGGGGCCCATTTTATGAGATGAGACCCATACTTGATACCACCAATAAGGCTAAGAAACTAAGACTAGATAGGTCATGGGCCTTAGGGGAGAACCTACTACTACAGCAACAAAACATCTTGTAATGACATTTTGCTATATACCCAGAGATCAGTGCATGGCTCACCCTTCACCAGAAATGCTTCTTCTCAAAGTAGATGGCAATTCACAGAGATCACAACTGGACACTGTGTAGACAATGAGAAACCTTGGGATACTCAGCCCTAACTGGGATGTCTTTGTCAAACCCTTCTCCTCAAGGCTCATGCGGAAGAAGAGGCAGAAAAGTTGTAAGAACTAGAGGTTGTGGACGACTCTAAGGAAACAGCGTCCTTCAGACACAACAGGGCTGCTACATACTACATCAACTCACAGAGCGTAACAGCACACACAAGACCTGTATAAATTCATGCCAGACAAAATCTGAGCATAGAGAGGGGGAAGTGGACACGAAGTCCCACCCCTAACCGAGGAGCTATGTGACACTTGCTGAGAAAGGGAAAATCAGTTCTCCCCAGTGGAGTGATACTAGGTACATCAACTCCAGCCTCGTGCTCAGGAGTAGGTGGACAACACAAAACAGATTCGACATTTTCCTGTGTGCTTTTTTATTTTTTTATTTTTGGCTGTGACTTAGTAATTTTTGACTTCAGTGTTTTCCTTTTTTAAGGACGAGAAAGAACATGAAATTGGGTAGGTAGGGAGGTGAGGAGAATGTAGGAGGACATGAGGGAGGGGAAAGATGTGATCAAAATATATGAAAACATTTTTAAATGGTTAAGTAAAAGAAAAAAAGATTTGGGTCTAATGTGACTGGCCTCCTTACATTCCTGCTACCATTACCACCATAGTGGGCTATATATTTTCTTTTCTTTTTGACAGGGTCTTACTGTGTAGCCTTGGCTGGCCTTGAATTTGCTATGTAGCCCAGGCTGGCCTCAAACCCATAGAGCTCTGCCTGCCTTGCCTCACAAGTGCTGGGATTGAAGGAATGTGACACCACATTTGTCTGTCTCCCCTCTTAAACTGTGAGCCAGAATAAATGCTTGGTCCCTCTAAAAAAGAAAGAAAGGAAAAGAAAAGGAAGAAAAAGGAGAGGAGAAAAGGAAAGAGGAGAAAGAAAGGAGGAAGAAGGAATGAGTGGCTCTCACTCCCGGCTGTATTCCTGCCTAGTTCGGCCTTTGTTTCTTCTTCAGTTTGCTAAGTTTTAATTTATTATTATTTTTTTGCCTGTGCTGCATAAAGTTTTAGGCCACTTTAACCCCCTCAGAAACAAACTGGAATATAAACGATGTGGAAAATGAGCGGCACAGTGCGGAGAAGCTGGTGTGGGCTAGACGCAACACACGGCGACCTCAGAATCTGAGGTGTCTTGTTGATACACCAGGGAATGCTGGGAAATAATTCTTAGAGCTGTCTATAACCAACACACGGCTACCTCAGAATCTGAGGTGTCTTGTTGATACACCAGGAAATGGTGGGAAATAATTCTTAGAGCTGTCTATAACCAACACACGGCTACCTCAGAATCTGAGGTGTCTTGTTGATACACCAGGAAATGGTGGGAAATAATTCTTAGAGCTGTCTATAACCAACAAGCTTAATGCTAAAACTGAAGACCCCCCCCACACACACAGGAAGATTCAGAAATCAAAGTCCCGAGGGAATATATTCTGAAAGCCATTGTCAGCCTATCAGCTCTACAGCCATTAATCCTTCCTGAGTCATCCAACTGATGACATTTCACTGCTATTCAGAAGCACAGTGCTGCAAATCACCTACCGTGTTTATGAATGAACGCCAGTCCTTGCAATATCTGATACATTATATTCCTTATAGCAGACTCCGGAAACAACTTATTTCTGTATGGGCCAGAAGAAAACAAAGTTAAAATGTCAAGTTTCTGTAGTAGTAAAAGGAATTGCTTGTGTTTGTGTTATTCTGATTATATAATATGAAATTAAGAAATTTTACTGGATCCTTTGATAATAAGCAGAGAGAAAATAATCACTTGTGAAGCTAAGTAATAAACACCAAGTATATTCAGTTCTATACAAAGAAAAGAGTAATCTTTTTTTTTGTTGTTGTTTTTTTCGAGACAGGGTTTTTCTGTATCTTTTGGAGGCTGTCCTGGAACTCGCTCATGTAGACCAGGCTGGCCTCGAACTCACAGAGATCTGCCTGCCTCAGCCTCCCAAGTGCTGGGATTAAAGGCGTGTGCCACCAATGCCCGGCAAGAGTAATCTTTTTATTATAATAATAAATAAGAAACCTGTAACACTGTACCCAAAAATAAGCTAGGCATGGCAGTCACACTTGTAATCTCAAGTCTCAGAAGGTTCACATACAAAGATCTAAGTTCCAGGCCAGTCTCAACTATGCAGCAAGTTTGAGGCCAGTCTAGGAATGAGATCTCTTTCAATACAACAACAACAACAACAACAAAACCACAAAATGAATGAAAGTAAGCAAGACGCTTCCTGGAGGTTGTCTCAGGGCTCTTGGGCACAGGAGTGTGGTTGGGTCCTTCACCTAGCTGGCAGATCTCATCACTAACATCCAGAGGTATGACGTTAAAGGTCTACAGGAAGAACTCGAAAACTGAAATAAACAAAGCAAAAAGTACATCTTCGTTGCACAATGAATCCACAAGGATGTTATGACTATGAGATTGTAAAGATGGCTCAGAGTTTAAGAACACATACTGCTGTCACAGAGGACCCTTCAGAGTTCAGTTCCCAGCACCCACACTGGGGTGGCTCACCATAACTCCAGCACTAGTGGAGAGCCTTTGTGGGCACTCACACGATATGCACCCCTACAGGTATAATTTAACATGATAAAAACAGATCTCAAAGACACTGTGCTAAAAAATAAGGTTATGACCAAACCATACCTTTCCTTAATGAGCTGGTAAAGGTTTTCTTTCATGTACTCGAAGATAAAGTAGAGGTGGTCATTTTCCCTGATGACTTCTTTCAACTTTACTATGTTGGCGTGGTTGAGCTTCTTTAAAGACTGAAACACATGAAAATGAAAACCAAACAAAATTAGAAAAACAAATCTGCCTTAAAGGGATTTCTGATTTGAAAACTGAGAACATGCCATGAACTACATCTTATTGGCCACTCAGTAAACAGTATTTCTTTGAAGTGAACGTAACTTTATCTAGAAAAATGTCTTTGATGAATTGAAAGAAGGTAAGCATCTGATTACTAGCTGTTAGTCCTGGCTGTACCCAGCCCAGAGCAATAGATCAGAACTGTTTGTGGCAACAGGCCCAGGCTATTTTAGGCTCACTTCCTCTGGATCAGGGGATTCAGGTTATGCAGGTGGCTGGGAGCGGGGGGGGGGAGGTTATCAATAAAGAAAGTCATGGCTTTAAATCTGGCACTGGGGAATGCAGCTGGTTAAGGCTGAGGTCACCAGACAGCAGCCTGCAGACATGGTCAACAGGAAATGGCTGCAAGGACTGAGGCTGATAGCCTGATTCTCTAGACTTTCTTTAGACTTGTGTGCCTGAGACAAAATGCACCTTCTTACAATGTGAGTTTTAATTACCAGGGGAAATGAAGATGTACTGTTTATGAAATACAGAGTGAAAGGTCTAAGAGCAACGACAGTGAGAGTCAAGCAGTAGCCGAGGAACATGGCAAGGTTCAGAAGGTGATACACGAGTTTTTGATTACTCATCTTACACATGTAGTTTTCTAAGTTCACGTGAGTGTAGCCCTGTACACACAACTTTCTGTATACACCATCTGCCAATGGTGAACAAGAACACTGTCATGTTTGTGAGCAGCAATCAGAACCCAAGGACACCCAGTTATTGGGAGTGCTTCCTGGGTGATCAGAATTTGAACCTTGAAAAGTCTTTCCCCCCATGAGGCAATGCGGTCAATAATGATAAATCACAGCAGCTTCTCTACCTGTGAATTTCATTAAAAAGAACACCCTATTTATAAACAAACAACACTTGCAGAAGGAAGTGCTGAAGTGAACCTTCAAATCTACAAGGATCCAAACAAACAATCGGAACTTGGATCGATGTAGCTTGGAAGAGAGGAAACATGGTCAGTGGATAAGGACCACGAGAGACTTTTCTGGAACTTTCACCCCAAAGAACAAATTCTTGCCAAGTCATTTTGCTGGCATGGGTTCCTCAGCAGTTTTGGATAGAATCTTCTCAGATGGCCCAGTCAGGGTTGAACATTTCTTTTCCTTGGGTTGGACTCCTGGTTTTCAGCGAGCAACAACACAGGCCATCTTTCCTGCCTGTTAGCTTAAAGCACATCACAAGCATTCCTCGTTGAGTAGCTTTATGGCAAATTCCTTCAGAGCTTTTATTCTCTGAGTAAGAGAGGCAGACGTGCCTTACACAAGGTTTACACTTAGGGTAGAGCACATGGTAGTTTTAACAGGGAGGAAAGTGCTGACCAGTCCCCGAGGGGGTCAGAATTGATACTATCAATTCATCTGGATACTATTGATTAATCTGTGGAGTGCATTCCTGTGGGAACTGTTGGCTCGTTTTGGGGGTACTGTTGATACTTATCTGCTCTTAAACAAGTGGTTTGTTTCTACTCCTTCAGAAACTTTTCTATAACCATAACCACGTAAGATGCGCCTTTCTGGAAAGGTATCTTTTTGTAAATTGAATACTGTGAAATTCTCTGAGCAAAATTAACTCTTTACAGATTAGGTGGACAGAAAAATTTTAAGATTTACTTATTATGTATACAATATTCTGTCTGCATGTATGCCTTCAGGCCAGAAGAGGTCAAATTTCATTACAGATTGTTGTGAGCCATCTTATGGTTGCTGGGAATTGAATTCGAGACCTTTGGAAGACCAGCTAGTGTTCTTAATCACTGAGCCATCTCTCCAGCCCAGATGGATAGAAAATTTAACTTGCTCTGTAACCTTACTGAAACTGGAGTTTCAAGCCACTCTTAGACATGGGCCTGTCATTCATGTTTCAGACAGACCACAGCCTCAGAGCTGAACCACTACGCTCCTTCTAGAATTACTTTCTAGAAAAACTCTAAAACCAACTTGATTTTTTTTCCCTGAGTGAATGTGTATGTGTGTTGGCCTGATCGTATGTGTGTATACCACTTGCTCACAAGTGCCTACGGAGGCCAGCAGAGGGGGCAGTTGAGAGTCATCCATGTGTATGCTGGGAAGGGAACCAAATGGGATCCTCTGTAAGGACAGCTAGTGTTCTTAGCTTCTGAACCATCTAATACCTTGAACCTTAATTAAACTTAATGTTACAGCCTCCCAGCAAACAAATGCCACTGTTCTCATTGGAAGGCTTGTAATAAAATTATATTCAATTCTTATTTTTATACGCTATAATTTTTGTTTTTTGTTTTTTTTTTTGAAACAGAGTCTCTGACTGTCCTGGAATGTTCAGGCTAGCCTCAAACTTACAGAGATCTACTTGTCTCTGCCTTCCGACTGCTGAGATTAAAAGTGTGTGCCACCATGCCTGGCTACTTTTCTTTTTCTTTTTAGACAAAGTCTTACTATGTATATTTGGCTGGCTTGAAGCTCACTACAAAGACCAGACTGGCCTAGAACTCAGAGAGCCACCTGCCTGAGCTTCCTGAGGGCTGGGATTAAAGTCATGCACCACTACTCCTGACAGACATTTGTCACTTGTTACATATATACACAAACAGTATCTTCAATAGTATCTTCTGACTCATGGAGTCTAAAAAAGTTATGATCTGCCCTTTATGAACAAAGTTTACACGTCCCTGCTCTAGACTTGAAGCCCTGCTCATGTACTAAAAGGGCTGTTTCATATCCCACTAAGCTTTTCACGCAGGGCCAGCAAGAGGCCTAACAATGGCTGAAGCACCACCCCAGGGCACGAGGAAAAGAATGACACACGGAAAACCCTAGGGGTCAGTCTCCCTGGGGAGACGCTAAGAGTATGAGTGGAGACAGGAGAGGAAAAGAGAAAGAAAAGGGAACAAAGCAAAGGTAAGGGTTGGGTGGACCTCTGCTCTAGAGCGCCTGCCCAGGAGGCATGAGGGCCTGGGGTCGCACACCAGCACTGGATAGGAAGGAAGGAGGGAAGGAAGGAAGGAAGAAGGAATGAACAAAAGCAAACAAACAAAAAACTTTTTACCAAGCATGGTGGCGCCTGTAAATCACAGCAACTGGGAAGCTGCAGAGCTAAAGAGGATTTCTAGTTCAAGGCCAATCTGGGCTATATAGACAGACTTTGTCTGGAAAAAAAAGAAAGAAAGAAAAGAAAAAAGAAAGGAAGCAAACAGCAAACGAACCCAGTGAAGACATACTCTATGCAGTGCTGACCAAGCTCTATGTCAGTCAAGGAATCCCATCACACACAGCAACAGAGAGTGAGTTATTAGTGCAAGGAAATGCAAGCAGCCCTGCTAGTGTATCCAGGAAAAACAAGCTACAGGTAGATCTTCCTGTGTGTTAATCGACAGGAATGACACCTATGGAGGCAACCATTCACCAAATCAACCCTTATCGAGATATACTGGTTGAAGAAATCCATTAAGGACAGAAGCATTCTAGCAATAATACATTCATTCATTAAGTAATATATTCTGCGTTCAGATACCAGCTGCATAATATCCTTTCTCCACTTTTACAGCATTGGTGAAAAAAACACAAATAGAATGACTACAGCACCGATAAATCTCGCCATAAATGCAGCTATTCTAATCAGCCAAATAGAACTATTCCCTGAAATAACAAATTAACAAATACCTTAACCTCCCGAAGGTTCATGCATTCTTCCCAGGAGTAAAACTTTCTTTTCATTCTGCAAGAGAAGAAAAAGAAATAGCATGCTTATTCCAAGTGATAGGCTGAACATCATTTCTAAAAATGTTTTTATTCAGGGTTGGAGAGATGGCTGAGTGTTAAGAGCATTGCATGCTCCTGCAGAGAACCCTCATTCAAAATCCCAGCACCAGCATCAGGCAACTCAAATTGCCTACAACCCAGCTCCATGGGACCCAATGTCATTTTTTGTCCTCTGTGGGCACATACATATACACATGTGCCAAGCACACATGAATGCACACACATACAAATAAAAACAGATAATAATTTTTTTCATTCTGAACCTAACTCATGCTGGTTTCAATTTTCATAAAATGTTATACTATCTAAAGAAGCCCTTATTTTAAAACATGGCAAGTCAGTCAAGTCTAAGTCACCAAACTTCGCAGCAGCAGTGGGAGCCTGGTACACTGCTATTTTTTTGTCAACTTGACACAAATCTAGACCTATCTGGGAAGAAGGAATCTCAGTTGAGAAAATGCCCCATTAACTGGAGGGCCACCATCTTGGTTAGTGATTGAGGTAGGGGGCCCAGCTCACTGTACGCAGTGCCATCCCTGAGCAGCTGGTTTTGACTGTATAAAAAAGCAGGCTGAGCTGAACAAACCACAAAGAACAAGCCAGTAAGCAGCAGCCCTCCATGGCCTCTGACTCAGCTCCTGCCTCCAGGTTCCTGCCCTGGCTTCCCTCGGTGATGGAGTGTGACCTGAGAGTTATAAGAAGAAATAAACTCTTTCCACACCAAGTTGGGCATGGTGTTTATCACAGCAACAGAAACCCTAGCCAGGTCCCCTGGTGTAGTACAAAGAGCTAGGTCTGCTGTCTGACTTTACCACTGACAAACTTGGCCTGAAGGAAATTTCCTCAGGTTTATTCTGTCTAGGCCAGTGCCAGCAGACGGAATTTTTGTTGGTGGTGGAAATCTTTGGTGATATCCAATATGGTAGCCACAGATATGTTGCCACAGGATAAGGTAGACAGCGCTAGTTAGGCTCAGGGTGCTATAAAAAGAAAAGGAAAAGGAGGAGGAAGAGGAAGAGGGGGAGATGATGAAGGTGAGAGGGACATACGATGGGAAGGTCCATGGGAGAGTTGGGGATGGATGGGAGCAAGATACCTTGTGCATACATAAGAAATTTTCAAAAAATTAATTTAAAAGTATGTTTTTAAAGAGTATGTGGCTACACTGAGCACTCAAAACATGGCTAACACACTACGGGATCTGGGTTTTAATGTACATGCAGATGGCAAATATGGTATCTTACTATTTGTGGTAGTTGAAGGGTCTAGGTATTGGTCTAGGGTATTAGAATAGTTGGTCTCAAGTTGGTGGCTGTTTAGGAAAGCTTAGGAAGTGTGACCTTGTTAGAGCAAGTATGTCACTGGGGTGGGCTTTGAGGTTTCAAAAGGCTTGCCTTATTTTGGGTGAGTACACTCTGTTTTCTGTAAGCTCTCAGCTGCTGGTCTACTCCTCTGCAACCTGCAACCTCAGCTCCACCACCATGGAAGTAAAAATCAGTACATTAGCTAGGCATATGCAGTAGGGCAATCACAAGAAAGATCTGGGTAGAAAGGTATTAGGTAAGTTCATGACACGGAAAGCTAGAGACTGGAACAAAGAGGCAAGAGGGCAGTGATAAGAGATAAAGCTAGAGGGAATAGGCCAAAGGTGTAGCAACTTGGAGGTCACAGATTTTGATGCCTATTGCTAAGAGGATGGCAATGAAAGAAAGCTATGTCACATTGGACTCTCGTAGGCTTTGGTTCAGGAAGTTCATTTAGAAGGTGATTCCAGGAAGCCAGGGCAAAGATCAGCAGAAAGAGGGGAAGACGAAAGATCAAGTAAAAGATATGCCAGTGTGCTGATACCAAGAGCAGTGACTAGGCCTAGTAGGCAGAGGAGGCAAGGGGCTTGTCTTAGTTATGGTCACTATTATTGTGATGATGAAACACCATGACCAAAAAGCAAGTTGGGGGGGAAAGGGTTTATGTGACTTAGGCTTCCACTGCTATAGTCACTTTCTGGAGGGAGTCAGGACAGGAACTCAAACAGGGTGGGAACCTGAGGCAGGAGCTGATGCAGAGGGCATAGAGGGGCAAATGCTTACTGGCTTGCTCCCTCTGGTTTGTTCAGTTTGCTTGTATGTATGTATGTACGTATGTATGCATGCATGCATGCATGTAAGAACTCAGAACCACCACCAACGGGCTGAGCCTCTCCCATCAAGCACTTACGTGCCTTCCTACAACCGGATCTTATGGAGGCATTTTCTAGTTGAGGTTTCAGATGACTTTAGTTTGTGTTAAGTTGACATAAAACCATCCAGCCCAGGGCTGCAAAGAGGCAGTAGAACACAAAGGATGTTTAACACTAGTGGTTTTAATGAACTGTCTTTTTCAGTTTGGTATGAGCAGTGAAAAGACTGGGAGCCAAGAGCCCTAGAGAGGACCTGGTGGTCAGATGGTAAATGGTAATAGGTTGGAAGTGAGGTTCTAGTAGGAATGGGGTGGGTAGACCAGATAGATATTTAATACAATTGACAGGACTAGATGACTGAAGGCAAGGCATAAGTGGGAGCAAAGTCAAGAGAACTCAGGCTTTGAGGTGGCTGGAGAGAGGGAAAAATGGAGTCGGAAGGAACACTGCACGTCTGTAGCCCGGTTCTTGGGAGGCAAGGCAGAGGGGTGTGGATTCAAAGCCAGCTTAGAGTGCACAGCAAGACTGTCTCATAGAAAGAAAACAAAACAAAGAAGAGGGATAGGCAAGTCTGGAATAACACTGGAACAGTGCCCTGGATGCAAGTTCAGTTTGGGGAATGATTTTTAACTGGCTACAGGCCTTAGTGATAAGAAGGCATATGAGCATAGGTGGCCTAGCAGACAGGCTCTAACATGGTCCCCAAAGACCCCTAACTTCCTCTACTTACAACTGTGTATAACCTTTCTCCTTCAGTAACTTGCTTCTATCCAGTAAGGGCACATCATTCTGAGCGGAAGCCACTTCTATGATTGATTTGTAAGAGTAAAAAGATATGACTTCCATCTAAGCAGACTCTTTCTTAAAAAAAAAGAATAAAGATTTATTTATTTAGTGTATATATGTACGACAGGGTACTATGTGTACCATGTGTGTGGCCACATAGGCCAGAAGAAGGTATTTTAGATTCCTTGGAACTGGAGTTATAGGTTGCTGTGACTGTAACTGTTGTTACAGGTTGCTGACTGTATAGTTCAGCTGGGGCTGAATTCCAATCCTCTACAAGAGTAGTGAGCACCCCTAACCACTGTGCCATCTCTCAGCCCTTACTGCTTTCCTACTGCAGCAAGGCACTGTACTGTGAACTACTCCCTGGAGCAGCCCACATGGCAAAGGACTGAGAGGTGGCCTCTGGGTGACAACTAGCAGAGAACCTAAACTCTCAATTCAACAATGCACAAGGTTCTAAATGCAACCTAAAGTCACATGAGTGAGCTTGGAAGTAGATCCTTCCCCGCCCAGCTGTCAATAACACCATAGTTTTGAGCAACACTTTGATTACAGCCTCAGAAGAGACTTGGGACCAGATAACTCAGCTAAGTTGTGCTGACCAACAGAAACTGAGATATAATGTGTGGGATCTTGTTCTAATCTACAAGTTTGGAGTAAACTGCTATACAGTAACAGGTAACTAATGCCATAGCTCTGAACTCTGGCTGCAAAAACTAAGTATGGGTCCCCCCCCCCCCCCCGCACACAAGACAGCAGATGCCAGACAAACACATTTCCTCTCCTAGAAAATGAAGTTTATTAACTTCACCACTACCTCATCAGAAAGTTGTAAGGTTTCTTTATAACTTCAGAATCATCGCCCGATGTTCTCTATGCCTCCCATCCACTCCTCTTTAGAAATGTTTCAAAGACAGGGAACGGACAGAACAGAGTTGAGATCATCTTGGGAGGGAGAGCTGCCTGTGAGTTCACAAGAGCGAAGTAAAAACTTACTTTTTAATGGCAATCAGCTCTCCAGACTCGATGCTTCTTCCCAGCAGGACAGAACCGTAGGTCCCATCCCCAAGCTGCTTGATGGTCGTGTATCTATTCATGGTGCGCCTGCTCTGTCGGGACACTCATCTCAGGGCCGAGGCGGCTCAGTCCTGCAGCAGCACCAGGCCTCCCCAGACTGTAACCAGATTTTCCGATGGCAGCACCAGCACAACGTATTCAATAGAACGTGATTATCTCCCAAATACATATTTTCAAAGGTCAGTCTTCTGCCTGTACAAAAGCACAAAGGATTAGGACAGATGCTAATGAATGTTTTGGATTTGTGTATGTTTGTAACCTAAAACAGTGGTTAGTGAACTGTAGTCACTGGACTGCCATTCATTCATTTAAATAAAGTTTTTTAAATTTATTTACTTATTTTTATTACATATACAGTGTTCTGTCTGCATGTAATCCTACACACCAGAAGAAGGCACCAGATCTCATGATAGATGGTTGTGAGCCACCATGTGGTTGCTGGGAATTGAACTCAGGACCTCTGGAAGAGCAGTCAGTGCTCTTAATCTCTGAGCCATCTCTCCAGCCCCTTAAATAAAGTTTTATTAGGACAATTTGTTTACACTTGCTCGTTATCTTTATCCACAATAGCAGAACTCAGTATTTCTGACATTGTATAGCCAAGAGTGGTTATGTTCTGGAGTCACAGAAAAAGATGTCAACTCCTGGCCTACATATTCTCTTTTAAATACAAATAAGAGTATTCATAAAACGAGAGACGGTGTGCTTAGAAATCAATGAAATGATTTAGCTCCAATTCAGTGCCTCTCTGGGAAAACTGCGTAACTATGACGTATGAGGGCTGCTGAACCAAGAGCACCCATGCTAAATATGTTCTCTACGCATCTGCTACAATCAGCGGTGTAAGCATACAACCTGGGAAGCCAATATCACACTGCAGAAAGAGAACTGACATGGTCTCTTGAGCCACTTGAGGTTAAGCATCAACAGTTCTATTTTTCTTTGAGATGATTGGAAGGTAAAGGAAGAATGAATCATTCAAGGCCTATATAGAAGATATATAGTAATTTCAGTGCTACCCATTGTAGGTTTTTTTCTTTAAATAATAAGTCATTGATGTTTTTCAAAACCTATAATTGAGAGTCATCAAGTCTGTGTATAAAAAAGAAGTTTTGTAACCCAGCTGACTACAAAGTTCTCAGGAAACACTCACAACATAAATGCTGAATAAAAACAACACAGGTATATTATTGGTGCTAAACTAGTAATCTGAAGATTCAAATGATAGATTACTGAAGGATGTGACTTCCCACATATAAGTCCTGTCTATACAGCCTCTCCTTCCAAAAGAATTTCAATCAGTAAATGTAAAATAAAAGGTGAAAAGAAGAAATGCACTACTAAGTAAATACTGGCAGAAAGCAAAGCTCATACATGAAGAAGGTAATGGGTGGATGAAACAGGACATTTGTAGAATCTCAAATATACTAGGTAACTACTAGGGAGGAGATAACTTTACAAAAAGAAATTCATTAAACAAAACAGAAACAAAAATACCTCCCCCCAAAAACCCAAAATCCAAACCAAAAATGCCTCCTTCGCTGCTGGTAGTGGCATACTTGAGTAAGAATGAGGCAGATCTCTTGTGATTTTGATGACATCCTGGTACAAAAAGGGAGTTCCAAGCTAGCCAGGGCTACACAATGAGACCCTGCCTTGAGACAACATAAAACAAAACAAAACAAAACTCCAAATATCCTTGCGTCAATGGTAAGTTCAACATCCTCACCAAGGAGATGTAATTTATTAATTCTACATGCAATGCACTGAGAAATGTTGTGGAATAATCCTCTTGTACACTGTAAAGATTTGTCACTTGAATTGGTTTAATAAAACAATTACTGGCCAGTAGCCAGGCAGGAAGTATAGGCAGGGTGACCAAACTAAGGATGATGGGAAGGAGAAGGGCAGAGTCAGGAGACACCAGCTAGATACAGAGAGAGCAAGATGGGCATAGTGTACTAAGAAAATGTACTTCCATGTGGCAGAGCATAAATAAGGAACATGGGTTAATTTAAGATGTAAGAGCTAGTTGATAATAAGCCTGAGCCATTGGTTAAGCCTCTGTGTGGTAATTTGGGAAGTGGCTACGGTATTTGGGACCAAGCTGCTCTGAGACGGAAAACTTCCAACTACCAAGACAGGCACAATACCAATCAGTGTACTTTAAAGTGAAGTCTACAGTAATCTCTTAAAAATGTAGAATCTCAGCCGGGCAGTAGTGGTGCCTTTAATCCCAGCACTCAGGAGTAAGAGACAGGCGAATCTCTATGAGTGTAAGGTCAGCTTGATCTACAGAGTGAGTTTCAGAATAGCCAGGGGCAGTTGTATAGAGAAAGCTTGTCTCAAAAAACCACACCAACCAATCATCCAAACAACCAAACGAAAAAAAGCAGAATCTCAGTCAGCTTAATCATGAGGAAACAACACACAGACCCCAAATGAGGGATATGGTATATTCTATAATCAACTGGCCAGCAGTATTTGAGAGAGGCAAGATCATATAATGCAAGAATAGGCAGAAAAGGCAAGGCTAGAGGCAATTAAGGAGCTATGACAACTAAATTCAACATGGGATCCAACATCCCCAGAAAAGGACAGCAATGGGGACTCCATGAAATGCAACTACAGTCTGCAGTGTAGTCAGTAACATTAATCATACCTACAGTAATTCTCTAGTCTTGACCACAGCTCTCTAGTTACCTAAGATGGAGATGCCAGGTACAGTTTTTAGGTCTTTACCATTGGAAGTTTTCTATGTCCATGACAAACTCAACACTGAGAAACAACAATAAAAAATAAGCCTAGGTAAGGTTTTTGTAAAAGTTGTGCAATGACTTGAGACTCCTTGGGAAATACACTGGCAATCCTGACTTTTCTACTGTCTACCACACAAGTGAAAGAGCACATGGGGTCCAGCTCAACCCACTCACACTCAGCTTGCTCAGCTCGCTCCTTCCCCCGGGAGGGGCACTTTGTTTCTTTTTGCCCTTCAGGATCTTTCCTACAGCTTCTTTGTGCTATTCTTTACAGTGATGTATTCCACTGCTGGCTGATACATATTCATAAGGCACATAAATATTAATAGATATTTATAAGTACATGCCCTTCTTTCAAAGAGCTTAGCCATGGTAAGGAATGAGGGGGGTGGCATTTCAATTAGGCCCATGGTACTGGGTGTTTGGAGGGAATTTGGATCAGGGTTAGTTGGCTTGACTTCCAGATGGGTCAATTCCAATTGGGCTCAGAAGGCAATAAGAAAAGCAAAGAAACCGAGTCATGAAGGAAAGCTAGGTGTGTTGTATTGCAAACAGGAATGCTAGCATAAGGGTTTAAACTTGGGATCAAGGATGAAACATGGGTAACCTAAAGGCATCATTTTGTTCTGGAGGACCTCAGATACACCTCTGTGTATGTGTATGCATTTGTGTATGTGTGTGTGAGAGAGAGAGAGAGAGAGAGAGAGAGAGAGAGAGAGAGAGAGGGAGGGAGGGAGGGAGGGAGGGAGGGAGAGAGAGAGAGAGAGAAAGAGAGAGAGAGAGAAAGAGAGAGAGAGAGAGGGGTATGAATATGAGCATAGGTGCACTGACCTGCGCATACACACATCAAGACCAGAGGTCAACTCTGGCTATCTTCCTTTGTCCACCTTGTGTCTTTGAGACAGGGTCTCTCACTGAGTTTTGGCTAGACTGCTAAAAAGTGAGCCTCCAGGATCCGTTTTCTCTGCATTGCCCCCTTTCCTAGCACTGGGATTACAGCTGTGTACCCAGACTTTATATGTGGGTGCTAAGGATCCAAGCTCAAGCCTTCGTGCTTGCACAGCAAACACTTTACTCACCGAGCTGTATCTCCTCAGCTACCCATGTTTAGAAACACAGGCGTCGACTGAATTCTACTCTGAAAAAGAGGAAAATGCTGTATAAAAAGACATTATCCAGTCAACGGAAGCAAGCAGATAAATGGAAGAAAATTAGATAAATATTATATCTATCTTAAGTTTATTGAAGTTGATACCTATGCTGTGGCTCAGCAATAACACTTGTGCTATTGTTGGAAAATACATAGAAAGATCTAGAGACAAAGGACAATGATGGATGTGATTACAGCTTCTTATGGGATTATGTCCTGATAAAGCCACTATAAGCTGAAAATAATGTGAGTTGAAATGCATCTGTTATTCCTAAGCTACCAAATGCCATCCCTTAGCCTTGTCCACCTTCCACACACTCAAAGCACAGCGGGTTACTTTATCATCAAATACTGAATATCTTCTATACACATAGATATGTATTTTTTGTAGACATGTTGGGATGTAAACACAAAACACAATATAATACCAGTAACATCCTCTGACGGAATGGCTGCCTGGGAGCTGTGGCTTGCTGTCAGTACTCAACATCAAGAAAGTATGGTACCTCAGAACACAAGGCTGGGAAAAGATCAAAACTGAGAATTCAAAGTGCAGTTCCTATGGGATGTATATCATTTCGGGCACCATCCTAAAGCTAGAAGTCCGTGACTGAACCACTGTGAAGCTGAGCACGACTGTTGTGTGCATGCATACATGTGTGCAGGCCTGGGACAAATAGGGTAAAATAAACATTAAAGGAGAAAAATCAGAGTGGAGAATGTGCTAGCTTCTGAATTGTATCCCCACCACATTCCCATTCGTAAGCAGAAGCTCTAACTCCCAAGGTGACTGTATTTGGAAAGTAAGCCTAAAAAGAGGCGAGTGGGTTAAAAATGAGGTCCCAAGGATAGGGCATTGGTATGACAGGATTAGTGTCTTGTCTCCTTTGCCCCATCCCTGCCATGTAAATGTCATCTGCAAGTCATCTACAAATTAGAAATAAGGACCTCACCTGCAGAAATCCATTAGAACCTCAGCTCCGATCCCTCGAGCTGTGAGAAATAAACTTCTGTTGCTGAAGGCAGTCAACCTGCAGCTCGCTGCACTAGTCTGAGCAAGCAGAGGTAGATACAGGAGCTACCATGTACCCCTCCTGCAGCTTTTCTGTAAATCTGACATTACTGCAGGTTACACATTTAAACACTTCTCCTCAAAATAGTAGAGAGAGGGGATCTTTTAAAAAGGCACATAGACCACACTGAACAGTTTACCTTCATTTAAAACATACGAATGCAGATTTACTTGATATGACCTTCCCAGAACGCCCTCATTCTCCCATGGATGATCACCATCTCATGGGCTATTTGCACTGAGGACTTGCTCCAACTGTACACAAAGAGCATCTGGCCACAGCCCAAGGAACGGCAGCTGTGCTGCATCGATCCCTCCTTCACCATATTCACCCTCATCTACTTTGTGGTGTGCATACTTTCCAAGGCACCCATAGCTTCCCTGTAGTGTATGAAGACTCCCAACATTGTTTATCATCTTCCAGTAACCAGCCAATCAACCAACCAACCAACCAACCAACCACCAACCACCAACCAACCAACCAACCAATCGACCAACCAACCACCAACTAACCAAGTCACCCACTAAACAAACAAACAAACAACAAAAGCAAACAATAAAACAACTCACTGGAACTCTGGCTTGTCAAGATTCATCTAATGAACTACAGTCTTTATTTTTAAACTTTTATTATTATTTTGTGTCTTTGTGCTTGTTATGTATATGAAAGGACAAGGTGTTGGGGGAGGGGGTAGGTATGCCATGGTACAGTATGGAGGTCAGGGGACAACTTAGTGGAGTCAATTCTTTTCTTCTACCTTTTCATCAGTTCTGGGGATCAAACTCAGGTCACCAGGCTTAAGCTGCAAGTACCTTTATCTGCTGAGCTGTTCTACCAGCCCCACAAATACACATCTGTCTGTCTGTCTGTCTATCTATCTAAGTTACATCTGCTCTACTCTTTAGGTAATGGCAAGTTGTTGTTTTTTAAAAATAGGGGACTGCTATGACCTGGCTACATTTTTTTCTTTTTTGTGTTCTAGTTCATTAGATGTTTTCCTTCTTGTCTACCCAATCTTGCACACTGCTATTCAAGCTAATTTCTCCATGTCTAGTGTCCTGAAGAAACGATGTCATGACAGCGTGTATGCACATACAGTTAGTAGTCAAGTGTGGCTCGGCTCTCTGCAGCCTAACTGCACACTTTCCTCATAGGACCCATTTTCCATTCCTTAATTATCTCTGGCATGCGCCTCTCAAGCCTCTCACGCTTTTCCACCTCCTTGATGAATTGTGTTGGCAAAATTACAGTGTGTGTGTGGGCACCTCTGCTTTTCTTTTTGCAATGGCCTTAGACTACCAATTATTAACAAAGCCTTTGCTTTATAGCTAATGCGCCACTGTTTCCTTATCCACTTAAATTTGGTAACTGTAACAATGCTTTTTCCTGGATTACTAAGAAAACTACTTATGAATGAAGCACTTTACTGCAATTAAGATATACTGAATCTTTCAACACACAATTACCCTAACAATTAATTCCTACTTGTTACAATGTGTCATTATTATCAAGAAACAAAAATCAATTATTGTGGCAAGATCTGGCTGACACTGTGTCAGGATAGCAGCTTTGCATGCTTTTATGTCAAGTAATTAAATAATGACTGCACGACAGATTGGTCTAGTACCTCTTCATGCACTGATGCCAAATTGACCATGTATAATTCTAGTTGAATTTTGATGAGAGGCTAAACATTATGCAAGATTTTGGGGGTACACGAAGTATAAGGAAGGTGTTTTTCCTTAAAATAACTTACAGTTGACACACATAAGGAAAATGTCGAAAGTGCTATAAGAGCGTAGCATGGTGGAGGGAACAGTCAATTTCTGGGAGATGAGAAGAGATGGGACAAGCTTCCGGGCGAGGCAGTACTAGGATACTGGAGGATAAGCAAGACTATTCTACAGAAGAGGGGAGAAAGGGGTTGCATGTAGAGAAAGCTACACACATATAAAAGCTTGGCAGGAATAATTCTTTGATGTGTTTAGAAAGACAAGGAAGCCTAGGCATCAGCCCCTACCCAGCTGGCCTTCACAGTACCCCGGAGAACCTTTAACAGCCCTGATACCTGGCCCATTCCTGAGAGGCAGATTGAGTGGGAACCAGCTTTGATCATTTTGAAAGCTCTCCAGGGAGGCCTAGGGTGCATGGAAGGCAAGAGCAATGGAGGGAAATAGCACCTTGGAGTGAGGCTCAGCTATGAAGGAGGATGAGTATTATATAGGAGTTTTAGTCTTTATCCTGCAAAGGGAAACCTCCAGAGTCTTGCAGAGAAACACGAGGAGATTTCTCTAGAGACTGAATAGTTGTTAGAGTGGAGAAAGCCACTGCCATAGCTGAGTGACATATGATAGAGGCCTAAACAAAGGTGACTGACCTGACTTAACCAGGAACGGGGTAAGCACAGTTTGGGATTTGGAATATGCAATCATGTTTTTGGACAATGGACAGAGATGTTTTTTACAAGTCTACTATCTGGGGTGCCGAATTTGAACTACATAGAACACTTCTCGTGTAAGGATACAGCTCGGTGGTACAGCATGAGCCTACTTGCACGTGGCCTGGGTTTGATCCTTATTGAACTGCAAACTAACTCTCAAACAAACTAACAAAAGTCCACAAAACCACCCCTAAAACCAAACAGCTATCGGACATGCTCACTAGGCAATTGCAAACAGTTCTAAAAGTTCCACTTGCCCCCTCAAGACAGCACATTAGTGAAACCTAATTTAGAAACATGATACTCAGACCAAGTTGACAAGCTGAGAGATTTCATGGCATTTCGTTCACATAAAACACAACAGGACTGGTGTCTACTGGACTGTGCAACATGGCAATGCAGGTCTCAAACCAAGCTGAACTGCAGTTAAACAGATACACTAAAGGGCACAGTGGGGGTCCTCAATGAGAGCGTAAGATGCTGGAGGCAAAGGAGGTTGGGGAGCCATAAAATCTTCCCAAGTATGCAAAAAATGACATTGGAGAAAAAGTTAGCTGCATTATGTATGGACCCTGAGGACAGAACCACTCGCCACAGGTAGCTGTTTCCTTCTCCATACTTAATTATTTTCCATATTGAAAAAATAAAGTGGTGCTAGTCACTTTAGCATCAGGCAGGAGGCCAAGCAAAAATCAATCCTAAGCACATTCAAGCAAGAAGAGGTTAAATATCTGAGATCAGGGTTGTTGAGTTCTTACTTTTGTGGCCCAAACAGGGAACGGATGCTCAGTTACTCTGGGACACAACAGGGTGACTGACAGACATCCAAAGAAAAAGAAAGGGCTCTCTAGCAGAGGCCATCCCTGGCCCACTCAGCAGCAACATCACTCACTCTCCTTAGCTTACAGGATCCTGATTTCATTCCAGATTAGCAGATTCAGGTCTAGAAGCCACCTGCTCTAGTCCGAGGCATTAATGTAAGCCCAGCAAAGACACAGTGCTTCCTACTAAAAATTGTTTAGAGATGGGATCAAAAGGGAAATGAGTGGGCGAGGGCAGAGGAGGGCTGGAAGTGGGAATAAGACCGGTGGCAGAGATGTTTGTCTTGAGCATGACTGCATGAAGCTGTGCTATTCTGTGGGATGTCAATGGCAAAGATGAGAATGCCAATTTTTTTGGGGGGGGAGGGAGTTTCCAAGCAGGGTTTCTCTGTGGCTTTGGAGGCTGTCCTGGAACTAGCTCTTGTAGATCAGGCTGGTCTCAAACTCACAGAGATCCACCTGCCTCTGCCTCCGGAGTGGTGGGATTAAAGGCCACCAATGCCTGGCGAGAACATCATCTGTAAGGGTGAACAGAAAGATATGACACAGTCCTGGTTGCCATTAGCAGGGCTGCTGTACACTCCCTGAGCATACCTGCCTTTGAGTTCTTGCTGGATGAACTAATTAAATGTCCTTGATGCTGGACATGCTTGC